GTATGTATTTTGTCTGTTCATGTGGATGCACACATAATACTAATGAAAAAATATATGTTTCTCCAAATACGATGAAAATCGTATAAAGGACTGAACCGCTGCAAATGAAGCTCTATGCACGCTTGACTGGATTTTTCCTCAATTGGGTTTTGCTTTGGCATATGAATTGAATATTGGATTCTTGGCATTTGCTTTGTATGACCCTGCAAAAAATTGCTGGGCACAAAAAAAAAATAAACAAAAAATGGAGAACGCATCCAATTTGTCTTTGGTCTGTCGCTTTGACTCCGAACTCATGCTGAGAAGAGTTCAGCCCAGCATGGAGCTTAAGGAATATGGAAAACTGAAACGCCAATCACAAGTTAAACCCAGATCCTGATTGGGGGTCATTTTTAAATGGGTGAAATTTTTTATATTCACCCCACTTGCCATTGGGTTCTGAGATCGGGGACAAACGTTTCGCTGGCTAAACAATTAAAATCACATTTACAAATTTAAAATGCGATTTGCATAAATTACACCGCTCCCACAGCTGCAGGCGCTCACAGCCAGACATATGCAACACGGTATATATATGGATATATACATAGATTGTACATACATGTCCTATATGGCTGAAATTTATGTATGTGGCGAAACATAAGCTTCATTTTGTGGCATTATCTGAGCAGCTTTTGAGCTTGTTTGTGTTGCCTGCTTATTTATGCCAATTTGCATAAACAATGATTGCAGCATACCGCTCACAGTCAGTCGACGATAACAAATTCTGGCAAACAGGTTGCTCAGACACATGGCAATTGTTTGGGTTCTGAATGTTCTGTTTGGGGGCAGTCGAAATCCAGAATCTTGCTTTTGTGTTGGTTTGGCCCACCACCCACCACAGCGCGGAGAAGTATGCTCCAAAAAGTTTCGGAATGCAGCTGAGCCATTTTGAGCTCGCCATTTTGCAACACATGCCAAACACACACATACCATAATTCCCCCTTTGGGCGCCCTGTCATTCTTGTTGGCATTAATTAATTATGTAAACAGTTTAAATGCAAGTTTATTTTATTTACACGTGTTTCTGGTTGCTGTCCGGGCATGCCATTTCAATAAATGCAATTTAATGCAGCTGCAAATGCAATAGTATCAGTCAGAATTTGTAACTGCCAGTTACGGAGAGTAATAGCAATATAACTGTCAGGTGGGTAAAATCCAGGCAGGGCTAGGAAGAGATAGAGCAGCCAATAGCTTGAAAATCCCCTCTGTTCGGAGGATAAAGAACAGTCTGAGCATCAGCCGCCTCTTACTGTCGGCACTTCCGATTTTCTAACATTTCCGCAGCTCCTCTTCCTTCCGCTGCTTTCAATTTTCCCAGCAAAGGATTTGCCTTTTGAATTCCGCCAACAGTGGAAAGCATTTCGAGTCTGTCATCGCCCACACAATGGAGTGAGTTTTATAAAATGTATATAAATCTATTGTCAGCATTCGAATTCCGGGAAAACTGACAGCTGAAATAAGGTCAATGACTGGACAAATGCCAACAAATTAATTTACACAAATGAGAACTATTTTTTTGGTGTGGGTTTTCCGGAAATTAAATTAATTTATGGTTATGTGTATATAGTTTTGAGCACACGAGTTTCAAGCAAAGTTAAGCGTTAAATAGATGCGGTTTTTAATTAAGGGCATACAAAGCTCTATTGCCAAAAAGTTTAGCATCCCTCCTAGCTGGTTTTATGTGGCTTTGTAAGCAGATCCTGCTGGCAGAGCTGCGGCGAGTATCCCAAAAATTCACTCCCACTCTGGGACTTCCTTCAGAAATAGGAAAAGCAAGCACAGCAGCATCAGCAGCAGGCAGCAACAAACTAACTCAATTCGTCTGCACACAATGCCGCCAAAAGTGCGAATTGTAAATAGTTTCTGGCATCAGGATCTGGCTTAGCGATGGACTTTTTAAGAACCCTGCAGGGCACTTATCAGGATATTTTTGGATATAAAATGCACGGGGAAAAAAATTTATCAAATTTTTAAATTATTCTTCGGAATGTATGCATTTTTAAATACTTCTTATATATATACTTCGATATATGTTTTTTTTCCAAATATGGAGATGATAAGACAGACCAATTGAAAAAGTTTATAAATTCTTAAAAAATTCCGATAAGACTTATTCCAAGTGCATTTTATATCTTTATAGTTTGAGCTTCCCGGCTCTTTCCGCATCTTCTCCTGCCAATTTATCACTCTCCCATTATTTAGGTGAAACTACCAGGTAACACGACCTGGGTTGCAGTTCCATCTCTATGTCGGCCTCGCATCCTGGCAAAATGCATGCAATACCTTCGGAAAGCCTTTTTATTTCAGAACGGCAGAGAGTTAACGCCGTTAGTTTGTTGCCATTTCAGCCTTGCCGCCGCAGGATCAATGTAGATGTGTGAGCCAGTGTGTGCAGGGGAGGTGGTGGGAATGGTGGGAAATTATTTGCAGTCACTTGGGCAGGTTGTTGAAGTTTGCCAGCATTGTGCCTTCCAGGCCACTTGAAGCCGTCGCGCCTCCAACAACGGCTGACATTTTGGTCGCTCCGGCTTTGCGGTTGTTATTGTGATGCTGTTGTCATCATTACTGTCGTCATCTTTGCCTAGTTGGCTGCTTCACGGCACTCCACTAGGGTCCTGTCTGCCGTGGTTTGGTTTGGTTCGGTTTGGAATGGCTTGGTGCACCATTTCCCCCATTTGCAGTGCCATTTGCGGTTTGATTTCTTGTGTTCAGCCGCAGTCACGCCTCGCTGAGTTGGCTCCTAGGGTTCGGGGTTCGGGGTTCTGGGTTCTGGGTTCTGGGTCCTGGCCCACCATTGTTATGGCTTTGATGGAGCTTTTGTGCATTTTGTCTTTGCCAATTAATTAGCAAGGTGCTGCACAAAAGCCTCACATTTTGATGCATTCCGTTGCATGTGAAGAGTAAATTGCCAAAACGCATTATGACACTATCTTGAACTCCCAGTCCTAAATGCTTTTGTGCTGCATACTTCTGGGAGCCGGCCGAGGACCTTAATTAACTTTCCAGCATTTCCCAGATACTCCTGCAGTACTGGTATTCAGCAAATGGTGTGGGTAATGCGAGTGAGTATGTACTACAGGAATCTCAGTATGTCTGCATGGCTTGGAACATTTCAGGTAAATGAAATTCTCCCCATTTTTAAATGGCAATAGAAAGTTGATTAACTTTCTCTGTTCCCAACGAAAATGTGTTTGCTCTGCGAAATTCAATTGGCTTTCTCGGTGCATAGAATTGCGTATGAAAAATTGTTTATTTTCCAGTCTCCCTGTTTTGGAGTGTTGCGTGCATTTGCATATATTAGTCAGTGAACAGTGTCCCATGAAAATCAGTGTTGACCCACTTTTTCGGCCGGGCTACCCTAGGGCTGCGAAATGCAAACAATTCATTAATTGTCGCAGCGTCAAAGAGCGCCACGGAAAGCCCACCAGGCAGTCATGATTGATTGCGAAATTATGGAGGTACTTTCTCGCAGGCACGTATAGTATGCTGATTGCTGAAATATGTGGGGATGTGACTTATCTAACAACTGGAGTGCCAGACACCGACCACAGGAGTGGTCGGCCCACCAAGCCCACCAATGAAGTTTATTAAATTTTAAAAACAATATAACTAAAATGTTATAAAAGCATAATTTATGGCTTTAACTTGAATTAAATTGGCTTTTTAATAAACGACTAAATTAATACAGTTGAATTTATGACCATTTTAACGTTAAATGGTCTCTCTTTTTATGAAAACTAAACACTAATAGTAAATGAATGAGATGGGTGTTTATTTAAAGTTCATAAATATTCAAATGAGTGCTGTACCAGTACGTTTAAGTTTCCCAATGACTGCCATCTTCTAATACTTGACGACACATTGGCAATGATAGTTAAGGCGGAAGTTGTTTGCTCCTCAATATACGCATACTTTGGCGAGTATTTTGCCTGAGGTGGTTACATATATATGTCTGTATTTGAGAAGGTGGGTGGCTGGGTGCCTTGTCGGCTTGTGGGGATGTACATATAACTTTTTGACAATTGATGTGAACAAATACTTATAGATAGACCCGCAGATAAACTTGCCATCTCCTACAGCGTGGCAGACAAATTGCAATCGAACTCAACTCAGGCTCAGACACGGATCCGGATCCGAATCCGAATCCGGGGGCTCCTACAAGCTCTGAAGACAGCCATTGATACGTCCTCAGACGCATCGCTCGACAGTCAATTTCCTTACATTTTTTCCCCTTGGTTTTGTATTATTTTCCTCTTTCTAGTCGTTTTTTTCGCAAACTAAGGTAAATTCAATTGATTCGAACACGCTAAAAGGGCAAGGGGAATCTGATCGAAGGAGAAGCCAAGGAAGCTAAGCGCCGAGCATGCCACAATAGCGCTTAATTTTCAACGCTGCAACAAGCGGCTGACAGGGGCTGAGAGAGTGGCGTGGATGGGCGAAAGGTGGTGGCAGGTGGCCATAAATAATGTCGATGGTGGGGGTGTGGGGTTGAGTGGGTGGTGGCAAGTTGAGCGGCTTTCACGTGTGGCCCTGCCCGTGTGTGTGTTCGAGTCTTGAGTTAACAAGACTTTTCGCTTTTACTCAAACTCGCAGTCTAATACAATTTTCAAAGCTTTTGTCTTCCCGGCACTTCTCGGTAGGGGTATCGGAAAATCTCATATGGATATACACTTCAAAATAATAGCAATAAGCCAAAAATATTTTTAAAAATAAATGTGTAATATATTTTAAATTTTAAAGACAAAATTGAGGGAAAATTTCCATTAATTGCATTTTTCAAGGAAAACCTCATACCGATTTTTCTCACTGCTTAAATATAGAGATTCCTGCTTAGATATTGGCTTTCAGCAAAGTTGAATCAACGTTAAATCAACGCCGAAGCACGGCAAAACGGCAAAAGGGAAGCCATTTCCGTGACCCGCGAAATCTAACCCACACATCCTTGTGCCCGTACTCACCAGCCTTGCAGGGATCCATGTCAATGTCTCCGGATACCTTTGGTGACACTTGCAGGCGCATCAGCTCCTCGATGGTGTACTTGCTGCGGTAGGGGCGGCGCAATCGGCGGATGGTGCCCAGATACTCATCGAACAGCCGCCGGCGATGATGGTGCATGGCCCTTTCGTCCTCGTCACCGCCTACATCCTCCTTTGATTGCCCGTCCAGTTTTTGCAGGTCGTCATGGTCTTTCCTCTGGGCAGATGGGGCATCAGCGGCAGCTGGTAGTGCCGCCCCGACCTGGTCGCCATTGGTGCCGCTCGGCCGGGGGCTCTTGGCGTGGACCGAGATGAGCACCAGGAGGCCAGTGGCCACCAGCAGGGCGCAGTTAGTATAGCTCACGCCCGGGTTCATGCCACGCCTCCGACGCATCGCAGTGGCTTGCAACTTTGAGCTTGACTTCTTTTTACTTTGCTTTTCAGATGCTTTGTGTGTGCTTTTTGTTTGCTTTTAGCACGCTTCGTGACCAGCGGGTCTTTGGGGTTCTATAGTGCCTATCAGTCTGCTGCACTCAGTATAGTTTCTGCATTTTCGCTTAGCACGTGCCGGGCCTGAAATGCAAATGAGTTAAAAGTGGGTTAAAAACGGCTTAGTGGAGCAGCAACGCAAAAGCAACGATTAGATTGTGGAATGTGCTGGAAACAGCTTCATTCAGGTTCACACTAGACCAACAATACGTGGATTTGTTTTTATTTACAAACTACACTTGAGATCACTCTGTTTTGCAGGCTGGATTTTCTGTGTTCCCAAGCTCTTTAACCCCTGATAACCCATTGTCCCATGGGCGGAAATTCGCGAGATAGAACCGAGAGATGACCATGAAATAGTTAGTCCTCAATGATAGTTTTTTTTAAATAAGTTTTCCGATTATAAACCTAGGTATCATTTCTGTGGCATGATTAACAAACAAAAAAGTGTCAACTTTGGTTTATTTTTATTTTATGTTCTCAGGCCGACCAGACCATTGATAACCCCCTGACCCTTACACCTTTGTATGCCTCCATCGATTGTGAAAATATTTGCTTTTTCTTTACATTTTTTTGACTCGAAAAGGGCGGAACTTTTACACATATGGATGAGTGTGCTCTAAAGCTGACAATGCATCAAAATACGTAAATGCATTGGGGATTTAATCGTGAAAATGCAGATCAAATGGCTTGCCACATTACCATTCCCGAGTGGCAGCCAATCCACTTATGCATTCCCAGTCGGGAATATCTTGTCTCTTATTTGCAATTGGAATATTGAGCGACTGGGAAATGTCAGAGGAACGGATTCATTTGTTAATCCTGGGCTGAGCTGAGCTGAGACGCAGATGCAATCGATACAGCTGCCCGGCAATCGGCTGAATCGTAGGCAGATTATGCAGCCTCGACCCTGCAACCAACATCAAGCTGTGCGGCTTATCGAAAGTGAGATGTTTGTACGACATATCTTCGGGGACGCCCACCCATCCGAACTGACTGATAGACTCATTCCAGAGCAATCTAGGCACCGGAGGCAGCTCATTTGCATACGTACTCACAGTGGGGGCTACGGTTTCAATAGGACCCTGCATTCAAGGGGCTCAAAAATTCTATTTATGTGAGAATAATTCCATAAAATCTTGGCAACGTAGCATAGGCCCGTAAATGGCCCAAGGTAATTAATTATGCGAGACTCTGGCTGCTATTATTTTGACAGCAACTGTAGCAACAGGCACCCAGGCACCTTCTTACATATGGTGGCATTTACACGACTTCATTGCAATATGGGACCATGTTCACATCTGTGCCTTGGGCAATCATAAAAACTCTAGTACTGGTAGCTGGCAAGCAACATTAAAAACAAAAGAGGTGTAAAATCTAAACGAAGCCCAACAGATGGCAAAGGAGGCTGCCATATACGAAGTAGGTGGTGGCAGGTGAAGGAAACCGATTTAATGGAAACGGCAGGCAGGCAGTAAACTCACAAGGCCCACCAGGTAAATGTTCCAACTGCACTGTTGGCTGCCATCAACTTAGCACTCAATTAATTTCAAGTCAAAGGAGGCTAGCAGGCAGGCAAGGAGGGCTACCAGGATGCCTCCTGAAAGCCAGGCACCTCGTGGCCTATGCACAATAACAGGTAATTAAAAATCGCTTAGCCCCGGCACAGAACCGAAGCAATTCACAAAACCTTTTCAATTAACTTGAATGTTTGGCCAAAGCCATTGTCATCAGGCCATGTTTCAGCTCCTGCTGTTGCTGCTACTGATTTTCTCTCCAGCAATTGTGGCAATTTCATTAAATCATTTCATTTCCGGCTCCGCCAACACACACACCCACCCAGCCTTCCAAACAAAACAAATCAACGACTCGCCTGGCTTTTTATGGCAAATTAAGTTGCCTTTTGTGTGGTCCTGTGGTGGTGGTGTTGGGGTGGTGCTGACGGTGGTGGTGGTGCGGCAATTCAAGCAAAGCAGCCAACTAGCAAATAAAGCCAAACACCACGCAGACAATTTTACCGGCAAACCTCGGACAAAACTTTTTGCAGCCAAACAAAACAGTCGGAGGCGAGGCACGAATGGCAAAAGGATGCAACATATTTTCCTAATTTCATTTCGTTTAATTTAACCCAAAGCCAAGGCGAAAGCTGAAACAGGAGCTGTGGCTGGACTCGTTATTAGGGGCGAGAGGCAGCAGCCTCGGCAGCCATTTCCATAATCCATAGTCGCATAATTACGTATACGCCACTTGGGACAGGAATGCTGATGCTCAATAACGATGAAGACGATTATGATGATGTTGCGTTCTCATTTAAGCAAAATTAAAAATTCAATTGATAAATTCCAAACTAAATAAGCTGAGGCGGAAGAGGGGGAAAAAGTTACTTCAAATGTACGAGTAATTTTTCAACATCTCCTACCGCACCGCACCGTGCCTTGTGATTTTTCTCTTTTGTTGCCACGTCTCTGGCAGCAAATTGAAAATCGTTGAAAAGTATGTTAATTGGCTCAAGCCAAAGTTGCCGAGCCACCGAGCCAGCCAGCCACCCACCACCCCATGATTTTCCTTTTGCAGCCACTTTGCTCATTATGAAATTTATGCAGTCCTCTCAGCCTTAGTTCCACCCTCCTAGAACCCTCTGCCTCAGACGCACTCGTTATCGCACCCACATGGAAATACGAGTGCTCTACTTATCAGTGGCTTCCCAGAGCTCAGGGATCTGTGTTTTGGGTTCTGGGTCTGGGTCAATTCCCGCCACGATCGGCCGGCGTAAACAAATCCAAATTTAACGCCCCTACTACGTAATAGGGTATCATCAAATCAAGCTGTTTGTCATTCGATTATTGTCGCAGTGACAGTGCTCTTTGGAGCCAGTAAAACGCAGCCAATTCGGACTGGATGGTGTCGATGCACAAGCGGACACTTAAAAGCCTTAAGTTGCCATTTGCAAACGGCACGCGCCATTTACTTTTAGTTTAATTAGATACGATAAGAGCTCTGAGAGCCAGGCGGGCCTTATCCAGATATCACATCCTCCAGTTCCGGTTTTTGCCACCGCCCCGATCCATCCAAGGCCATCAATCAGGCTTGTCAAGTGCTCGCAACTTTCCAACTACAGGAGCTGACAATGACAAGCGTCAAGTGACTGGAGAATCATTGTTCTTAAACGGGGGCGGTTCCGCACTCGCATCCGTGTCCGTATCTGTGTCTCTGACTCTGGATCTCCTTTGCAGGAGGGTGGAACTAGGACTAGACTGCCTCACTTCGTTCCCCATCGAGGCTCTTTGTCGCTTTTAGTGTTTTACAAGAACAAATCCTGACAGAACACTCGGCGTACGCAGCCAGCCCGCCATCCAGAGCTCTTTGTTTGCCTAATTTTGATTTCCTTCGTTTGACAGTTGACATTTGCAGTTGCAAACTACCCGAACCCGGACTCAAAGATATGAATTGAAATGGCTCTCGAATGTATAGCAAAGAGTGTCATTTAAAATAAAAGCACGGATTGAAATATAACGACAAGGAGGAAGTCACTGCCGCCATGGCCCCAGTTTGGCTCGCAACGACTTGTTTAGCGCATTTCGGTAGCATTTTCCGACTTTTCGCATTTTTTGACAATTTTCGTTGCACTCAAGGACATCGAAATGCAGTGCACAGCATCCGGCCATGACTTGGCTAACAAGTGGAAGTAGCATGGCAGCAGGACCTGAAGCAAGAGGGGGAGCAGGCGCCGTAGCCGAGAGGCTGTGCCTCAATTTGGAAACAACTTAATTTCAATTACCGACGCAAAGACTGGCAGTCGCCCACCCACAAACAGGACAGCTGAGATGGTATAATGAATCGGGCGAACAGTGCTCCAGTATCCAGCAGCCAGACGAGGGTCGAGAGTTGGCTGCGGCCGACTTTTATGCGATTTAAAATGCTTTACAAGCGCAAAATGCAACCAGGCGGCTGAACTAACAGCCAACAAGCAAGCAAACAAACAGAGCGACAGATAGACGGGCGGGCGGACGCACAGGACGAGAAGTCCAGAGGGCAGGGGTCGACACCAACACGAACTGGGGAGGCTACGGCCAGAACTGAGCCTGGGGCCAGAACGAATCTAAAGCCAACGGCAAATAATTAAACTTGGCTGCCCGGCACCTGTGGCCCTTGTCCGCACGGGTCAGGCCATGGCCAAAGGCACCCATCCAAATAGCCATCCCAGCCCCCGGCCTGGCGACTCTGTGCAACTGTGGCAAAAACGAAATGAGTGGGAGCGAGTCCTGATTATTTAGCAGCTCGGCATGTGAATGTAAATAAAGTTCAGCCATAAAACACCACGTAGACAGATAGTCGGGCACCCAGCCAAGCCAGCCATGCCTGCCAGGCCATCCGCCGCTGCCGGGGTCGCATCCTCATTGCCATAATCTGCAACAGAAGCGGGAGAGCCCGAGGCGATGCAAATAACCACAGGGTCGGATAAGAGCCAAGAGACTGGACACTACACAGGACAAAACTACGACACAGTCATTGACTTGCGATTCTTGGGAATGTATTTATTATTTTAGAGCAGGTGCTTGTAAAATAAGTTGTATCTGATTTAATATTTTTTTCAATAAAAGTCATTACAAATGTAATGTTGCTAGTAGTTTTTCTCGATGCAGGATTCTGGCCAGCTCCCATTCGTTCACTCGGTTCGGTTCATAAAGAAATTGCGATTTATTTATAAACTTGGCTTGCAGCTCCGATTTTGACTAGCAGGACTACCGGCACTAAAGTTAAGAAATAATTAATACTAACAACGACGAATGACGACCGTTCTGTGGCCTGGGAATTGGGGCCGGCATGGGCCATTGGAGGTTACCGGGATGCTGGGATTCGGGGCTTCCATGGATGGTAGGATGGTCTGGCTGTCAGGATGCGCACCTTTGCATCCCGGATACCACCGTGCTGGCTCCCCTGTTGTTTCGGGTCATGAATAACAATTGCCGGGATGGAACCGAGATGGGAGCCAAAGAGAACAGGCCGGGAAAATATGGCGGCAAAGATTTCTTTTTATGGTGATTGCGTGGGAAAATTGTCGGCACCCGGGCGGCAATGCCTGCCGGGCCGGCGATAAAATATGAAAAGAATAAAAAAGTGAAAACAGGCCCCAATGCAAATATGAAAGGCGAGTGAAATCCTTTTAATTTGGCAAATAAAAGTGATGGCAGGCCAACCGATGAACAAATTTCAGCGGAAGCCCCCCGTGACGCCAGTTGCTGGAAAATAAACGGGAGTATAAAAAAAGGAGGATGTTTTGCGGGGAATTGGCGACTTAACTTTTGGCATGTAAATGCGTGCAAGTGAAAACGATCTGAAAGCTGGTCGGAAAGTAAAAAGTTACGGACCAACTTAAGCTTGGCCAACTACAAAGTGCCGAAACCACGGGCCGGCCAATCGAAGCCACTGAATAGGTTCCGGATTAAAGGCAATTTGTGGTCTATCCAAAATATTTCCCAGAGCACGCTTCCAAGTGTGCAGACTTTCCTCGAGGAGGCCAATTAAGTTATCTTGGTGGCGAGGCAATACAAGGATAATAATTACATGAAGAAATATGACTAAAAGCAGAACTTCACATAAATTAGCCTGGAATCGGGCCAAGTAAGTGAAATATAAAATCTGCTTAGACCCTAATTAATTACACATGCTGCAGCCGGGGGAACGACACCAGATGGGGGCCTCGGGCATGTCAGGATCCGGCCGAGGGGAAGTGGAAATAAAAGAGCACTTGTTCGCAAACAAGCACTTGCGACATATCATTAACTTTGCTTTATAGCAACCAAAAATTCTGGTTGCTCCCCCTATGTGGAGGGGAAAACTCAAAGCACTGCCTTGGCAAACGATGAAGTATAATAAGAAAAGGAAATAACTCGTGGAGTTTGTGATGATAATGGGGTGGGGTGGGAGGCTGTGTGCTTCTAAAGAATATGAGGAGCATGAGTGGTGGTTTCAAGGGTGTCTCCTGTCGAGGATGTGTAACAGACAGTAGTACCAAGGCGTCAGCTGTAACGCCTCCACAAGGCAAACAAAAACACCCACCCACACCCTAACACACGCCAGCCCTAAGACCTGTATTCAAACCTGATAAACATTCAGGACTCTTTCTAATAACCATAAAATAACTCAAATCTTTTTGCCAGATTTGTTTTCTGCCTGTGGTCGTCAGGCAGGTAAATTTAGGTTTTAATACCTGCGGTCTATCCAAGCTAAAGTGTAGTTACCTTCGGCTTGTCGAGGCAAAACCCACTCCTGAAAACCCCCTCCCGTCTTAAGCTCGGTCAGGACTTAATTCGCTTTTAATTTTTGGCATGCTACGACAGCAAAAAATGTGAAAAAGAATTCCCCATTTACCATGACGAAAAGTGGAAAAAACAGAGCCGAAAATACAGCAGAAATTTGTTAAGCACGCGCTATCAGACCGAAGTGCGTGTACTGGGGGGTAAAAAAAGGAAGCTGAAGATGCGAATTGAAAGGATACGAAAGGAAGCAAGGAGCCAAAGGATGGGGGGCTGGACAGGGACATCCAAATGAATTCTATTCAAAGCGCTGCTGTCAGAAAATATGAAATGAAATGTTGTCGCTGGGGAGAACTCGCCATCCAGAGTCCGGCGACGAGAAATATTGTTAAGAAATGCATACGCGGGCAATTTTTATTATTCCCTGCCCTTCTTGCTGTCCTTGATGTCGCCTTGGAGCAGGGTCTGGCGCTACTGTTACGGATGCCATTGGTGCTTAAACACGAAATGCTTAATGGCCAAGTTGCCACAAAATGTTTGCCAGACGAGGGGCAGTCAGTGAAGCAAAAATGAAATGCGTTTCTGGCTGCTAAAGTCCTTTTGGTGTTTGTCTGTATCTGGATGCTTATTGGAGCGTGAGCAACCTGGCCAACAATATCAATATGCGTCTTTTGTGCCACATCGCCTCCAGAGACAGCCCACCTCCACCCCCGCTGACAATTGTTCGCCGCCGGAAGTTGATATTCTGGCAAGCGGAAGTGTTGCAGCATCTTGAGAAAAGGGGGTAACTTCCCCCAAAATTCATATTTTCCATTTCATTTTTCCCCCTTTCTCCCCATGCATAAATTTCCATTTAGCAGACATTCTCCCAGCCACAATAAAAAAAGAAGATTCAAAACATATGAAAAGGTTTTGTGGCAATCTGCTCGAGACACTCCACTGGCGCAGGAATCAAAGCCAATTAAGTCTAAGCCCTGTTTTTTTGGACCCTTTTGGCTTACCTTCTTCGAGGATCGTTGGTCCAAAAAAAAGGGCCCAGACATCAATAAAGGAAACCATAAATAAGTAAATAAAGTGCCGGGGGAGGGATGCGATCCCAACGAGTTCGTTGCTACCAAGAGGAATCTGCTTCTATGCCGCGTCTTTATCGTGGGCACCTTGACTCTTGTTTGTTCCGTATTGCAGTAGCTACGACCCATACACGGGGAATCTCAGAGATTACAAGCACGCACACACCGAGCGAACAAAGCGAAATCTGAAAGATTCTATTTTAATTATACCGGCGGCCTTTAGATTGGCAATTGACGATCTGCGTTGAGTTTTTTTTTTCCTTTTGAGATTCAGTTTTTTGTGCTTGTTTTCCGTTTTTGTTTGTGCGCGTCCACAGATGTGTGAAATGAAAAGCGGAAAAGTGGAAACCGCAAGTCGTCACAGGGGCCAGAGATAGTAATACGCAAAACACCCACAACGGAACAGAGCAGACCAGAACGCAACGCCACGCCATGCGATGCCATGCTGGTGGCCCCTCCGAGACGGATGCGGGACGAGCTGCGAGGGGGGTGACAGCAGCAGCATTGATACAGGCACTGCACACACAGTAACAAATTTAGTAGAAGCAGCCGCCGCGTGCCATTTTTTATTTATAGCCATTTAACGCTGCGCTTCTGTATCAGCAACAGTGAGACAAACGCGGCGGCAACATCAACACAACCAGCAACAGCAACATGAACGCCAGCAACAACAGTACAACGTTTTTATGCGAGAGACAATAATAAAGCAAAAACAAAGACCAGACCAGCATATAACAGGCCCTCACTGATAACACCTTAAATGAATAACAAATTTTATAATTTATTTCATTTTTAAAGCAAGATCGCTCACATAAATACAAACTGTCTATAGTTTATTGAAGCTACCACGCGGTTGGTATCGCAGCCATGCACTTGTTGAATAAATCAAATGTAAAGTCTGCTTAAAACCTTTAAGAGTCAGTATCCTTCGCGGATACACATCTTTTGAAACACATATAGTATATATCTCACTCTCGGCACTCACTTAGCAGCAAAGAATTTTATCCTTTTGCCCTTTGTTGTTGATATTTGTGTTTGGCCATTTGATTCAAACAAGTTTGTTGCCAATATTCTTTCGTTTCGCGACGCGGTTCAAATAATCCGTCTCACTGCGAAAACACGTCCGTCCTCGACCGAAGTTGCTCGCGTTTTGAGAATATAAACAGAGCAGATAAACATAGCTCTCGCAGCGAGGGCATGCGCCGAGAACGTAGCAGTGTTTGAATCGAATCCAAATTTGGAATAAAATAAAGAAAAGGAACCAGACAGAGTGGTTTGGGGGGCAGTGTCCTTGGCAAGATCAATGATCAGAAATGGTTGGGAAACAGTGACCTATTCATTCATATAATTTTATTCTCAAATTTAATTTTAAATTTCCGATTCTATGGCATATTTGGGGAAATCCATTAGTTCGCATTTTCTATCTTAATCTGAAACCTTCTTAATGTACCCCATAAGGAAATAAAAGGACTTTATACTATCTTATAAAGTCCAAACACATAAGATTAAAAATTTGTTATAGCTTCTAAAGAATAAACGTAGGGAAGCTATCAACTTTTAAGAATTGTAAATTTAAATTTCAAATATCCCGCCAATTTTTAGTGTTTGAAAACGTCTTAGAAAAAACGGTCACTCAAAGAATTTTAGTGATGTGTCGAATATCGATATATTAAATAATCGAAAGATTCCGAAAACTTTACAAATATCCTTGAATCGATGATTCCATCGACGTTTCTCCGCCTCTAGGTGGACACATTTCTCTCTTAATTCCGGTTTTTCTTCCTAAAAAAGGCAAATAAGAAGAAAAGGATGGCTCAAATTTGCGAGACGACCAACTGCGGCAAGGAGGCGACTCTCCAGTGTCCAACCTGCTTGAAGTTGGGCATTAAGACCTCGTTCTTCTGCTCGCAGACGTGCTTCAAAGGCTTCTGGAAAACTCACAAAGTTATTCATGCCTTAGCAGGTATGTACGTTTGAAAGATCAATCTATTTTGGGATATCGTGATTAACGAGGAATTTTTACGTAAAGGTGGCGCCCAGTCAACCGCCTCCGATGGGGCTTACAACCCGTGGCCGCAGTTTCGCTTTAGCGGCAAGTTGCGCCCCTTTCCACAGACTCCCAAACGGGCTGTCCCAGAGGCAATCCAACGCCCAGATTATGCCGATCATCCGAAAGGTAGGTCGCTCTCCGAGGAGGCGCTTCGTGGCACCAGCATTAAAGTTCTGGACGACGAGGAGATCGAGGGCATGCGCTTAGCCGGGCGACTAGGCAGAGAGTGCCTGGATGAGGGTGCCAAAGCCGTGGAGGTGGGAATCACCACCGATGAATTGGATCGTCTCGTTCATGAGGCAGCCATCGAGCGGGAGTGCTATCCATCGCCGCTTAACTACTACAATTTTCCCAAGTCGTGTTGCACTTCGGTAAACGAGGTCATCTGCCATGGTATTCCCGACCAGAGGCCCTTGGTTGATGGTGACATCTGCAACATCGACGTGACGGTGTACCATCGCGGCTTCCATGGTGATCTCAACGAGACTATGTTCGTGGGAAATGTGTCTGAGAAGCACAAGAAGTTGGTGCAGGTCACCCACGAAGCCCTCAGCAAAGCCATTGAGTTTGTGCGTCCAGGTGAGAAGTACCGCGACATCGGTAACGTTATCCAAAAGTATGTCTCTCCCCATGGATTCAGCGTGGTTCGCAGCTACTGCGGCCATGGCATTCACCGTGTCTTCCACACAGCTCCGAATGTGCCTCACTATGCCAGTAAGTTTCATGCCTAATTATATGATACCATGGTGAAATAACGCTCGTTTTCTTTGCAGAAAATTCTGCTGTCGGTGTGATGGCGCCGGGCCACTGCTTCACCATTGAGCCCATGATCTCTGTTGGTAATCATAAAGCCGAGACTTGGCCGGATGATTGGACGGCGGTCACTGCCGATGGCCTGTACTCGGCCCAGTTTGAGCAGACGCTCTTGGTGACTGATAATGGCTGCGAGATCCTGACGCGCCGCCGCGAGAAGAATGGACAGCCTTGGTTTATGGATAAATTGTGAACGATCACTGCCAAATTGGGTTAACATATAGATTCTAGGGCTTAAAACTCAAATATCTTGTTGCATGAAGCTTTAATTTGTAATTTTACAATAAATCTATAGTTTATTCCCGAGTCCCATTTTTATTATCTCCCCTTTTACACGTTTACTTCTCTAGAGGAGCGTAATTCAGTAGTTTCTCGATAAGATCCACGTGACCGAGAAGCATGCGCCGGCAGCAGTAGCGCTTGAGACCCAGGGCATCAAGAGCATCTCTGCGGATAATATTAAAATTAATTTCCGAACTACAGTCCCACATTTCGCGACGTAACCTACCCTTCCGTGTATTCTGCTTGCAAGAGACCCAGATATGACTCCCATTTGTTGCCAATAACTTTTCCGCAGGTAAAGCACCGAATTGGAATAATCATCTTGTCTTAGAATGGTTTACTTTTACAAAATTCTCTAAAATTATGCAGATAATAAAAGAAATCGTGCACAATGTGTTTTTGGCTTGTCTAGAGATGGTAAAGTAGTCGAGAAAGAAGAAGAAAGAAAACAAAAGTTATCGACAAATCTATCGATAATTATGATGCAGCGGGATAAATCGATATAAAAAATTTTAAAGAAATTTTTAAATTTTAAAGATTTAAACTTAAAAAATTCTTGAAAAAAGAAAAGGACTACTTTTTGAATAAATTAAAGATTATTTTTATTAAACTACCGACTGCTCGCTATATGAATGCGTTTTTACAAATGAGTGTGTAAATAAATATTTTTGAACAGCGTCGAAGACTAAATGTGCGGTAACTAATTACTGCTGCCGGCAACTTCGACGGAGGTGGACACCTCAAACAAATCTTTGGCTGACTCTGCCTCGTCGTCACCCGCACTGGCCACGTCCTGTACCGTGCCCTTCTTCAGATTATCCGAGCGTTTTTGTAGGCGCTATGGGAATTAAAAGAAAATTAAATATTTTTCACTGAAAAATAAATACAAAAGCTTACTGATTCTGAGGTCTCCTCGTCGGGTACAAAGATGCGAAGTGGTGTGTTGCTACCCAGTTGTTGCTGAACCAGTCTCTGATGTTCCTCGAAGGCTGCAGACGCTGGATCCTGGGAGACAGGCGCCGGATGCTGCTGCACAGGCTGCTGCAGCTGTTGTTGTTGCGCCTGCAATTGGAACAGTTGCAACTGTTGCTGGTGCTGTTGCTGCTGCAAGTGCTGCTCCTGAGCTTGAGCCTTGAGTTCTTCAAACTGCTGCTGTTGTTGTTGCTGGTACTGCGCCTGAGCACGCAGTTCCTCAAGGTGCAACTGATGTTGTTGCTGCTGCTCCTGGGCTTGGGCCTTCAGTTCTTCCAGATGCAATTGTTGCTGCTTCTGCAGTTCGATGGCAGCCTGTTCCGTCTCCAGTTGCTGGCGGCGAGCCTCCTCCTCGGCGTAGGCCTGGAGCAGCTGCGAGGAATCATGGGCGTGACCGTAATAGTTGGACACCACGAAGCCACCCTCCGGGGTGGCGGCAGTTACCGCCGAGCCCACATTGGGGAGGTGGAAGGATGCCGTCTCGTAAGCACTCTCAATCGGCTCTCCCAAAGCCGGAGCCGCAATCAAGGCGGCATACTGCGGCGGAGAGTCAAGAACGGGATGGATATTGTGGTGTGGATCCTTGGCTGCCTGCAGAATCTGCCCATTGCTGGCCACTTCCTGGGTGAGATCCGCGTTCACATAGCCAGTTTCCACTACGTGCTCCGTGCTAGGCTTAAACAGCTGCTGTTTGTGCTGGGTATACAGTTGGTTGGACTGCGTCACGAGGTACGTGGGGTTGTAGATAGGAATATGAGCCGCCGGGATGGCTGCGGCAATGAATGGTTGCAACTGTGCCGCTGGCTGGGCGTACTGGATGGGGTAGATCTCTGGTGCTGTTTGGGCCGCCGCCTGGGCACCCACAATCTGAACAAGTGGCTGGGCGGGCAGGTGATTGCTCTGAACGTCGGCAGGAAGCGGCTTATTGTTGCTCGGCGTATTGAAGGACTCAGTGGACGGGCGGATCTTGGAAGTGGGCAGCGAGGGGTCTGGATCAGGGGCAAAAAGTTTCTGCGAACCGGAAATGGGATCACGAATGGTGTGGTCATTGGTCGCGTCCTCATGTACACTATAGTTGGGAGGCAAATATGTCTGGGGGCGGGCGGACGGAGGAGAGGGTGTGTGTTGGGGAGGAAGGTAGGCTGTGTCTAAGTGTCCTTCTTCCAGATCCAGGTGGTTGCCGTGCACGGATAGATTTGGTGCTGGTACCGTATAAATGGGTGCAAAGTGCTCTGTGTTGAAGTTGTTGTGCGTGTCCAGCTGTTGGGGGATTTGGCCATGTTTGGATTGATGTAGTATGTATGTATGTTCTGGAGTAATGTTCACTATATCCTTAAAATTTTAGGTCTCCAGGATTGGAAGTAGAATTTATCGACTTCCAAACCTTATACCATATTTTTAATATTTTACTTACCGGCAGGTTCTGGAGCTCGCTATAACTCACAGCTGTTGGCTTCTCGTACTTGAAGGGCTTGTCGTATCCAAAGGTTGGCTTCGCCTTGGGTTTGGAGCTGTTTAGCTTAATCTTCAGTGGCTTTCGAATGGCAGCAGCGGGTTTGAAGTAGACTGGAGCTTGATGCTTGATGGGTCTTGGAGAGCGCAAGTGCTGGTGCTGCGGCACATGGATCAAAGGATGAGCGTGCAGATGGGCATGCGAATGATGGGGCAGGACGTGGGGATGCACAGCGTGAGGATGAGCCAGATGGGCGGCATGAGTGTGGGCGTGGCCCGGACGACCTTTGAGAACCAATGGCACTGGCTGATCGCTGCGAATCTGGACCACCAGGGTGCGCTGTTTCCCCGGGAGTCCGCCAGCTCCTGCCGCAGGACGGACCTGCTTGGCGCTCTTCGGTGGCCAATTGGTGAAGACGAGTGGTCGCGGTTTGGCTGCCGGAGGTTCACAGTTAACAACCGCCAAGAGCAGGGCAAATATCAGAAAAGGCTGGCCATGGAAGAGGGGGAGTAAAAGTCAAAAGCATTAAATAAAAATAATAATTATTATACGAGCGAATCGAACAAAAAACACTGAAAGAAATTTAAAACTTTCTAAGCCCGCCAAAGGCATCAGCGGGTCGGAAAAAGGGGAGGGTCGTGTAATCGCTGGACAGCAACAAAACTGTAATGGCCTTAATTTGAACAAATTGGCGGTTTTCTAAAATTTTATCACGTCGCCTGCCACTGGCTACTTAACCAAAGCTGCTTAAACAAACGAGCCAACAAAGTACGTACGTACACATGTGTCTTCACTTGTCCGAATGCATATTTATATGAGCCACTGTATGCCATAATACTTTGCCCATTTTCCCCGCTCTGCTGCCTGATTAAACTTTCAGTCCGTAATGCCGTAGAATGAAAGTGAAAAGTCGAATATCGAAACGTCTTCGTTCTGTAATTGCTACTTTAATGATGTTTACCATTTCTACCCGAGGGTATCATGGATTGTTAGCTCTGATCGTCACACTTCAATAGATGTTTTTATATGAATTTTCGAAGAAGTTTCAAAGATTATATGTCTATCTCAACGTGGAATGAAATGAAATTGAAGCATTACCTTTCTGAAAACCCTGCAACATCTGCTATTGAATGAAATTCTCTATGAAATATTACAACTACAAGAATCTCTTTAGAAGAGTAGACAATAAAGTACTTGGATTTTTTTAGATCTTGACCGATCGAAGTGGAAGTTGGTAATTTGATGCCAGCAACTGGACATGGCAGTTTCACTTGGGCCGCTCCACCGATTCGGCGGCAATGACAATGACAATGTTGAGTGCCGTTAGCCAGACGTCAATCATGAGGTGAAATGCCTAACCGAGTCCAATATGTATAGTTATTGATTACGTGCTGCGTTTGCTTAATCGCAACAAAGACGAATTGTCCAAAGCCAGTGACAAAAGCAACCAAACGAAGCAACTGCAATTGCGGCTGCATAAGTGGGGACAGACGTAATTGGTTCCAAATTGGTGGGTTATTGTTTATGGAGTGGTTAGTTAGTTTGTCGCCTTTACCATATGCATAATCACATGCAAATGCCTGCGAATGCCACCTAGTGGTGAATGAACTCCCAGGAGACGGATGTCAAGACAGCGAGGGAATTGCCCGCAGCAACTCGTCCAACGAAAGTCAAAGTATCGCCAGGCAACGCCTGGAATGCATTTAATTTCGGGTTTCCTTTGGGCTCGGCCAAGACCAATGAACTTGACAAAGGATTTGCCTAACCGCTAGACGGAACTATTAAGCAGCGGCCTGTCGCCGCGACAACGGCCATAAACAACGCTGTGGTTAACCCAAATTGCAACTCGAAATGCAACTTTTATTTTAGCGGTAAACATTTTATTTTCAAGCCGCTGCACATTGAGGCAAATGCAGGCGAGCAGCCAGTGTAATTGGTGCACGTAAAGCCATCCATTGTCTAGAGCTCGGGCTGGAGCAGTAAACTACAGCGAAACCTGGTGAATCAAGTGCTCTCATTGCAAATGAAAGTGCTCGCTTTGCCGGCCACATTACAATTTGTCAAATATTCAGACGAGCGATCTCAGCGATCGCAATTCAATTGAAGATGCGACGGCATTGTCTTCAGATTGCTACCAGTCTGCAGGCTGATAATTGGATTTGAAGGTGAAGGTGAACAATCTCCGGCGGCACAATAAATGCCACTCCATATGCATTCGCATTAAAACCAATCTATTATTTTACATGTGCCGCTGCGATGCTCAGTGAGAGGTTTCAATAATAACCACTAATTGTGGCCAACAAACCCGGGATCGCAGCGTGATTCACTTACCCTCATCTTGTTGGGAACTGAAGTTTTTTCGTTGCTGGTCGGATGGTGATAATGAAGACGCTTTAATTGTTACAGTTGGGTTTTAGAAAGCTCTAGGCAATAGTTGAGCGACTTTTGGCTTCTTCTAAACTGCCACTACTCAAGCAGCAGGTAGATGAAGATCAAAATGGCAATTAAGTAGATAATCACATCAATTAACTTCATGTCAGCGTGCGCCGCGGCGCTTTCTTCAGTTCAGTTTAGTTAAGTTCAGTTCACGCACAGAAAATTCAGAAAATTCGTAAAGCGGCGAAAACTAACGTCCGCACCTGTTCAAGTCGCGTAGACAACTGAATGCCAGTCGGTCGGCGGGCCCGGACAAAAACCAAGTGCCGATCCACTCCACACCGACTGATTCAGACCGATCCCATCCGATCCGATTCACTGAAGTTCCACTGGAAGTCCACGTAGCGGCGATGAGTCGCATTGGAAATGCCTGGCGCACCGCAAAGAAAGTGGTCGGATTTTCTTGCGACTTTGCCGCTGCAGAGTGGCGCCGCCGAAAACTTGTTTGCAACGGCAAAAGGCTCAGCACGCGACCGACAACAACATTTGCCAGCAAGTGCCCGTTTAATCGCACATAGACCCATACAACACACAATGGAAGCACAAACGAAAGTGTTTTGCCATTGACTGTTCTTGGCCAGCGAGAGAAAGAAAAGGCTACACTTGTTGCGGATCAACAAGAAGAGAAAAACAAAAGACTTAGGCAACGAACTTGTTGTCGTTCGCCAGTATGTTGGTCTTTACCTTAAAAAGCAATGTGGACCAGGCGCACATGAACCAGAGATGGGTTTTGTGCTTCATTGCTTCCATGCCACCTGTTGCTTCAATAAACAGGAGCAAAGCCACCGATTGACATTACGAAATGTGGCAGCCACAGTGGTCAAAGAAAGGAGATTTTAAGCTTTATGTATAAGCCAAGAAAAGTAGCTCTGAAAATGGCATTATATGTTTCTCTTTTCCAAATCTACGGCTTTAGTTTTTTAAAACCATTTCCGAATCGATTAACCCACTTATTTCTCCGTCGGATGCATTTTCCATATGTAATAGGGAGGCCTTTTAAAAAAGGGCCTATCTCCGGCATTAGGCTTCATACGTGCAAGACCCTTCGATGATATGGAGTTTGGCTTATGAAACGCGCCCATGTTTAATTTGTCGCATTTTATGCGGAGCGCGATGCCCAATTTCTAAACGCAATTGGTCATTGGAATTTGATGGTGGCGGGCCTGCCATATGTGGGTCAATATTGCCCATAACTTTTGGGCCATAAATCAAAATTTCACTTTCATAAAGCTGCCAAATTTTTGGTTGGTAATTTCTTTGCGATTTTTCCATATTTATATTTTATTTTGAAATATTATTTTTAACAAGGTTTTTTAAACATTAACAACATAATATTATTATTATACCTTTTTATTTCATACATTTATCATTTCATTTCGTGTTACGTTTGTTTTTTAGACAAATGTTTAAAATATGCATTTTTAGCTTTTTTAATTGTTTTTTATTTAAAATTTTGTTTATTTTTTGGGTTGCTTTGCTTTTGCCTTTATGAAGCTTCTTTAAACTAAACTAATTTGTCGTTTAATGCTTTCTGCTCTGATCTTGGTTTATTTTAATCGTTTTTGTATTTAAATTAATGATTTTTATCGCTTTTAAGATTCTTTTATTTCTACGCTTACGTTTTCCGTTGTGTAAATATACTTCATATAAATACCGAGTAAAAACTAAAAAAATGTAACTACAGTAATGTTTTCAATAATATGATTTGCATTTTTTTTGGGCTTGCATTTTTTATACAATTTTTTAGCACACCTTGTAATAATGTGCGTGTGCGGGTATTTTGTGAAAGTGCTGCGAAATTATAAAAAATATTTTTCGTTTTTCTGTTTTTTGGATTTAGTTGCTATTTTTTATATTATGATATTATTATTATTATTATTATATTATTCCTTAAAAAAATGAACATTCCTCCTGTTGCTTAATCATGTAAAATTTTTATTTTCGTTTTTTGGTTTTAGCTGCGAACGTTGATTCTATACAAAAAATCTAACTACAGTAAAATGCTGCATAGCTTCACATTTACGAGTATGATAATATATTTTTATATTTTTTTCATTTTTTATTGACGAGTTTTCTACAAAAACGTTGCACTTACATTAGTTTATACGGCATTGAGTAGTTTTATGCGACATAATTCATATATATGCATATACTATATGTATATATTTTATTTTTTGTGAACAAAGCTGCCCTGAAGAGTAAAATAATGTGAAAGATACAAATACTCGAAGTTACATTAAATTGTAATGGGAATGTAATGTTAAGCAGCTTTGTCAGCATGGTTTTCTCTCTATATTTTTGGTTTAATTTTTTTGTTTGTTTTAAAGAAGCTTTTATTCGGATAGTTTATGTTTTTGGTTGAATATGTATTTAACTTGCGTTTGTTATTATTTTGTTTTATGTAGATCGGCTATAGCGTAAACATGATTTTATCAAGTTTCACAACATCGAGAGTTCATTATGTTCTTTTTGTTGGGGTCATCGCTGTCGAGTGTGAATAGTGTGTGGAGTGTGGGTATTTGTGTGACTTTGTGTCTGTAGGTGACGACTCTATCAATTTATTAACTATTTTAATCATTTAAAAATTATGTTTAACTTTTGGGATTTTCCTACGCCTCTGCCTGTTTATCGTTCTCGTATTATTTTAGGATTGCAAATGCGTTTTGTTGTCGATTTATTTATAAGGTTATCATTAACAATATATGAACTGCTTTTTACGCGATACCTAGTCGTCTTATCGTTTATGCTAAGCTATGCTATGCTCTCCTTTCATTAACATTTACACTTGACTATTACTTTTACGTTTACGTTTACGATTACGTTTACCATTAAATTTATTTTTACTTTTAATGGAGTTTAAATGTTTCTCACATTGCACGGCTACATACACGTTTACATAAATTTCGAAGGCGCATAATATTCACATAATTTTGTTTTAATTTTACGTTCTGGGTAAGCCTAGGCTACACAAAATTTTACTACAAATCAAATACAAAAGGAATTGTAACTTGCTCTTCATTATTTTCGCTTTCACTTATAAATTTGTTAGATTATACTCTTCGTTTATTTTCTTCGTTCTCCTTTTAATTTTAAAAGCTCGAATTCATTTTATTTAAATTTGTTATTTACTAATATTTTGTGAAACAGAAACAAACTCATTTAGTACGGTCATCTGTGCCATATCCTTGTTACGTTTTTCTCCATTTCTTCATTTCTTGGTTTCCCTTTATTGAATGAATGCGGTCTGCGGTTTTGGTTGTTTGATCTACATTTAATGTGATTTCTATACGCTTTGGCAGTGTTTATCATTTGAACAAATTACAATTGTGTACCGAAAATCGTTTTAAACCACTAAACGGAACAGCACAAGATACACGAGTTAAACAAGTTGAACGGTAACATATTCGAGATAGGTCTTAGTTGCTTATCGTATTTACATGCTATGTACAAAAGACAGAGCGTTCCCCTTAGCCGGATCGAGCGCAAGTGCGTGAAGATTGTAGAGAATATTTATATAGAAGAGGTAATAGCAAGATGTAGAAGGGTATGTAGAAACATAACTTTTTCGCTTTTTGGTTACCGATTGTATCTATCAAAAATTGTTTAGAACACCACAGTTGCTGCTCGTACATCGCTGGTAAAAAGCGCACACATTCACATACACTAAAAAATATTACTAACTACATTTTCATCAGCTATTCATCGCACTTTATATTCCGATTTAGGTGTAATCTACAGTCTACAATCTACTTACAGTACATATTTTCTTTTTTTTTTTGCATTTTTATCTGAGAGCTACGTGTCTCGCTGTTCGTAGGTATGTGTGTAGAGATGTAAATGTAAGAAGTATTTCAATTTAGGATTAGCAAAATAAAAGTCTGTCCAATATGTGAGTACTTCTCGACACATGGCTCCGACTAATGACGATTGAAAAAGCTGAGATTCCTCTAGTTAAGTGTAATTCTTTGCTTAAGCTTTGGTTTAGTATTTAGCTTCCGAGTCACCTGAGCTGGTGACCCTCGGCTGAAACAACCATGCATTTACCATATTCTCTGGCCTTTCTTCCTCTGCTGTCTTATAAAAGATCGAGTCGAGTTTTGTATTTGCTTTAGGTGTACGAATTAGTTATCAGATTGTTGGCTCTTAGGTGTCATTAATCGATATTTGTGTTAGTTTTACTTTAAAAGTTTAATGATTACAATATGCTCTGCTCTATATAAATCGTTTGCGCATGCTCAGAAACTTCTAAATGCAGTTTTTGAATTTGTATGCTGGCACAACATTTGCTTTTAGCCTCTTTGCCTTGTATCTGTATCTTTGTATCTCATTTCTTTGAAGCTGTATCTACGCTCACACAAAAGCAATCTCGCAAATTTGTTTTGTGGCTTAGTGTGTGTGAAATAATTGAGTGTTTAAGATCGTGTATTCGATATAAATTGTTGCGTAGTGTTTGCTGTTGTTTGTGCTGCCATTTTGCAGCTTAGAGAAATATTTAGAGACATGAAAGTACATAGTTTCAGTTTCAGTGTACGTACTCTAGAGTGCACATGTGTGTGTACTAGACTTAGTTTAGGTTTAGTATTTTGTTAGTTGTCTTTGTTGTTTGATTTGCTTTTCCTTGTTTAATGTGTAGCTTACCTCACTAATGGTTCCCAATTGCTTACGTCACACCATTGAGATGGATTTCATTTAGAATTGTTCAATTTTTATGCAATATGCAATGATAGCGCCATGAAGTGAACTCAAAATGTAAACGAATATGAATAGATGAAATAAGTGAATAACGATTCTTAAATATAAATGATTTCTGAACGCACTCATACATAAATACATACCCATAAGTAATAACTAATGATTGTTGCCAGAAAAACTAAACTTCAGGGAAATCAGAAACAGATACCAAAACTTCAAATAATAACATAATATTTTATTGGGGACTTGGGAATAAAATACAAAACAAAATATACAAGGAAAGATAAAGAAGATAAGATAAACCAATGTACATAGATAAAGATTAAAATTATAAGTATATAGAATATAGAATATGATAATTTCAAGGTTCTAAAAAGGCATACGGAATGATGTGGGAAGCAATCAGTTGGCAATTGAACGATGGACTTTGGGGCGACAGGTCTTGGTTCCCCCGATCTGAATCTGTCTTTTATATATGTGGAGAGAGGCGGCATGGCCCTTGACGTTGCAGTTGCACTTGCAGTTAACGTTGCGGTTGCTGTTCTGATCGTCTGTGCTAGTGGTTGTCTCTTGATTGTTGGCTGGGATGGACAAAATACACCAAATTTCGCCTGCCTCCACACATATAAAAGGACAGAGCAGCACACTTTCTGGCACGCAGTGTTCGTATCTCTAACTAATTTACGCTTTTGATTTCCATTTTGTACAGGGTACACCTTACAATCGATTACATACAAATATGTCTTTTTCTTTCTTGCCGATTTGCTAACGTTAATCTTATGCCAATAGGTAGTGGATGCTGTGCCATAAATGCGATGCTCTGCCTCTAATTAATTTCTCCATCGTTCAAATGTACGAATAAGGACCATCAGTTAAGGCGCTACACAGTAACAATCAAGAGTTATCATCCTTGTTGGAGCCGCCCCCACCGACCCCGGATCCCTGTGTGTTGGTGCCGCGTCCACCGGCGGGTGCTCGTACCGCTGGCGGCTTGTACTCCAGACCCGGATCAAATTGCATTAAAACGAATACCTGAAAATCATAAATTAACCAACAAATACTTTAAATATATTCAAGGATCTAACCTGATCTGTTGGCAGTAGTGAAAAGTCATCGGGTGGGTTGGTTATTACATAACGTTTGCTGCTCGCATCACAGCTGGAGCTGGTGTCCCTAAATCGGTATAAGCCGATGCACAGCATTCCGTACGATTTCAGGGCAGCCACGAACAAGTCTCCGTACTTTCCGCACTCACCAAACTGAGCCAGGGGTCCGTCGTAGAGTGAAATTTGCCCCACTCGACACCTGAGAATTGGTAAGCCAATATTATGGGATATAAGATAAGCTACAGCTTACCTGTCCCGATTGCTCAGACTCTCTACTGTGCTGTAGCCTCCCCGGAGGCCAGCACCTTCTGCCAGGATCAGCTCCAGCTCGGGCGTGGCTCCACCCGTTATCAATGAGCGGATCAGCGTTAAGGCGTTTTGATTGAAGTAAGTCTGTGGCGGAGAAAATCAAGTTACATAAACAATTAAAATATCTTTGATTTGACAGAAGATAAAAGGGGAACCGTTAAAGGTATTGGAACTGGACATTACCGTGGACATCAGCGAGTCTAACACACTCACAGCGAAGGCTGTGCCGCAGGCGAATGGCTGCGTCAGATATAGTTCTGTATCTGGATCATCATCGTCGTCTTGATCGAGAAACTGCACGTTACTATCATTGACCAGTTCTTTAAACGACAACCAATATTTTAAGTATTAGTAAAGCACACACCTCGGATCGGAGGTTCGGAAATGGATAAGGCTGGCCAGAACATTCCGTGGAGTAACAAAAATAAAATGAACAAAAAATGAAGAGATCTACAATGTCCTGGCCAGTCCCACTTCCGTTCGGTCGTTCGCAAACTCAGCCAACTTAGTGCGATGCAGTTTACCTGTTATCATGGGCACATTGGCGCCATAAACTGAGCCACGCCGCTGGAGCACAATGGGGCTACCGGCGGTGGCGCTCAGGTTGTCGAACTCCGGTCCGCGCTGACTAAGCACACCGATCGTGTCGTCGAAGGTCATGGCCTTGATGTTCAGCGAGGCGAGGATCGCCTCCTTGTCGGCCAGCGTCGGGTCGTCGTTGCTAGGAACTTTGGCAGACAGTATGCAGCACATATCACACAGATTGACGTTGACCGCCCTCAGATCGGCGCGACTCAGCGGTGAGCCGTTTAGCACCGAGATCTTGGGCAGGTTCTGCAACATCTTCCACTCCCGCCGAATGTAGTCCACCGATCCGACGATCACCACGTGCTTCAGCTCGTGGTAGTGGAAGTTGGACGCACGCAATGGCATCACCAGGTTTCGCAGCCCGATAAGCGGCGAATCGGGATCGGCGAAAAGGCAAACGACCACATGGCCGTTAAGCACCGTCATGGCCGCCTGGTTGCGATCCTGGACAAAGATTTTGTACAAAGTTATGTAGTTTCAAAACAAAAGATGACTTCGGGCAAGGCCGAAGCTCGTACGGGTTAATTTAATAAATTTTTAAAAAAAAATATGTTCTCAGATTTTAATGTAGATTTGTGGAGAATCAATCTACAAATCGTTTAAGGTACTCCGCTTGAGAATCGGATGATTATAGCCTAAGATATGACCTTGGCTGTGGAACATATGGGCCTCCCGGGCATTTTGCACAATTTCGAAGAGGAACCCCCAGAAATTTTGACAAAAATTCTAAAAAAAAATATGTTCTCAGATTTTAATGTAGATTTGTGGAGAATCAATCTACAAATCGTTTAAGGTACTCAGCTTGAGAATCGGATGATTATAGCCAAAGATATGGCCTTGGCTGTGGAACATATGGGCCTCCCGGGCATTTCGCACAATTTCGAAGAGGAACCCCTAGAAAATTTGACAAAAAATCTAAAAAAAAATATGTTCTCAGATTTTAATGTAGATTTGTGGAGAATCAATCTACAAATCGTTTAAGGTACTCCGCTTGAGAATCGGATGATTATAGAAAAAGATATGGCCTTGGCTGTGGAACATATTGGCCTCCCGGGCATTTTGCACGATTTCGAAGGGGACCCCCTAGAAAATTTGACAAAAAATCTAAAAAAAAATATGTTCTCAGATTTTAATGTAGATTTGTGGAGAATTAATCTACAAATTGTTTAAGGTACTCCGCTTTAGAATCGGATGATTATAGCCAAAGATATGGCCTTGGCTGTGGGACATATGGGCCTCCCGGGCATTTTTCACGATTTTAAGGGGAAACCCCCAGAAAATTTGACAAAAATGCAACAAAATGGGCAGTACTATATTGTATCATTCATAACAATGGACGCCATTGACATTATACAAATTGAAAGAGTTTGGACCTTCATGAAATTTGAAAAAGATGAATTTATATTTATGTTAAGAGGAGCCCTAAATAAATAGGTCTTACTCCAATGAGCTCCTTATGGAAACTGATTTTATTTGGTAAAGTTCTCTTATAACTTAACTTAACTCTAACTTAAGAATTTCTTAAGAAAAATAGTGTTCAATGCTTGAACAATTTACGTAGTTAACAATTTTTAATACAATTGTTTGAGTAAATTTTTGTGTTAAAAAATTACTCATACGTAACGTTGGTTTTGGTTTTCTTATTTTATTTTTTAAGACTTGGAAAAGGAAGCCATATGGGGGCCTTTGTCTGGATCGAAATCTAAAACTTAGTTTTTCTTAAATACGAAACGCTTACCAGTATGCAGTCTTCTAAGCTCTTTGCGGGACTCCAGTGGAACATGCCTGTCGAGTCGTACTTCATTTCGGTCTTCTCGAAGTCAAAGTCCTTCGACTGGTCGTCCGCAATGCCGGCGGGCAATGAAACGCCGCCGTTTTGATTCTGTGTACCCGTGCCGGAACTGCGACTCGTCGGCCTAGACACAATTAGAGCGATAGAAAAGTGTTAGCCATCGGCGGTCTGTGCTGGAGCTTGGTGTTTCGATTCGTTCATAATGGGGTTTATTCGATGTTCAACTTTTGAATTGCATATGCAGATTATCAACCAATTCAAAAACAAACGCTACATCCAAATGCAAAGTGTTCATCGTAAACGCTACGAGTACGTGTGTCTTTCAAAAACATATGTGAATACTTCAATACGAGTAAGTGGAGCATATTGAACTTTAAATGTGTTCTCAATACGATAGTTAACGATATTCAAAAATAGTTTACGCTTACAAAGATAGATTAACGAATAGTAAAATATAGATTTAGAGATAGAGAAGATAATGTGCTAGTTGAAAAAAAGTTTCAAAATGAATGCGAACAAGAGTTTGATTTAAAACTTAATAGTTTCTTGCTACGCAAAATGCTTCATCTGCCGTCCGAAATTGTTAGGGAGCGGGTCTCTTTATATTGCATGCGTGAGGAAGTTGCCTCTTTCCATTCCCCTCCTTAACCATTGGACTTGGCAGTTACCATCTACAATTACTTAATGTTGTATGTAAGTTGAAAGGAAAAAAGATATTCGAATGAAATGTATATGGTACATGGGTGCAGATATTGACATAAAGATGAACACAGAAAAACACACACAACAAATAGATTGCAATTCAAAGTCAAATGATCCAGAGAATTAGAGAGAAAGAGAGAGAATGCAGGAGAAAATGGGCGAATGTATGCTTTTTAGGGTCTAAGACCAACGATACGGAAATTCTTCAATAAAAAAATTTCATATATATTGATTTTCGGGCTATTTAATGCGGCAGACAGTTTGTCTGCCCCTGAATGTATGCTATATTTTTAAAAAACTTTCTTTAAGGATTTAAAGAAGACTTGCTAGGATTATCCGACAGGAAAGTATTCAAAATATTGAAATATATCACATAAAACTATTAGAAACCCATAAAAAAATAAAAGAGGCAAATTAGTCAGCAAATGTGGGTTAGAAATATGCTTTAAAAAGATAATTACATCGTTATAGTAAACTGCTTAAATTAAGGACTTTCATGAAGGAATATTCACAGATCGCTTGATGATGTTAGTTGAAAATAGATACAATTAGAGGCAGAAAATTGTTTTCTGGCAATTCTTGACGAGATGTTATTATGTTAGTAGACAAATGCACGAAAAGGTTAGGCGTTTGTTAAAGAAATGCTGTGTTAGTTTATTATTGAAGGCGAATTGATCGTAGGGCGCACATACAAACACACGGACATCTACAAACGGAAGCACACACACACATACCCATACACACACAGACACAGGTACAAATACACAGATACAGATACTGAAGACAGCGACATGACAATTAACGCACAGGTTTGGTTAAGTTTCGGTTTGGTTTAGTACGCGTATTTGATGGAATGGCATAGCTTTCGATCAATCAATATCAATATGTGTGTCAAACAAAATGCGCATAAAATGTATTTAGATAAGTAACGAATACTAAGTTATAGTTTAAAAAAGGCTTTTGGCTTTTTGATAGATTTCGTAAGTTAAAATTCTAGGAAATTATGGACGCATACATGAGCTTTTTAACTTCGTAAGCAAGTTGATAGCCCGCATAAGGGTTAGCATCATTCTCTGGTGGCCTGAAACAAAATGTTTTTCGTTTTTATACATTTAGACTGGTTAAAAGTAATTAATTGGTTGTTGGTTGGTTTGTTTCGTATTTCTTGAGTGGGTGAGTGAGTGGTTTGGTGACTTTGGCTGAGTGGCAGGTGGGTGAGACAGTTAGTTGAGGTGTTAGAATTAGTTGGTTAAAGAGCATTTACATATGTACGTGGAACCTAGAAGACCTCCTAGTTTCTATACTCTGACGGTCACTCGATGACCTCTTCACTGTTCGCTGTCGCTGTTCGGTGTTGTGTAAAATGAAACATAAACACAATATTCATAACGAAGTGTTTGGTGTTTGTTCTTTTGGTTTTGTTGTGTTTTCATAACGGAGGCAAATAAAAAGTAATGCAGCTGCAAACAGAGTAGGCCTAAAAGTGTATTCATTGAGTTTTTAACTTGAGTTTGCTCTTGCTCGATTACCGACTTTGCTTTGCTATTCGTAACTCAACAGAGTGCCGTTTTATGTGATTAATATCTATGGCTATAGATAAACCCTCATGTTTAACCCCCGTGGAATAGATATATACACTCCCGATGTAAGCTTTGAAGAGCACTCACCTGTTGTACTGCGAGGGTGATATCACCTGGCCCTCCACCTGACGGCTGACATTCACCGTGGGCTTCACCTTGTTCACCTGTTTCCCGGCCGCAGCTGCCGCAGCCGCCGCGGCAGTGTTGTTCATGTGGTGCATGGCACCTGTGCCGTTGCCAGTGCCATTCGGACGGCGCAAATTGCGATTGAGTACTGCAAGTAAATAAAATGGGATATAACCATTAATTCGTTGGCCTGGCTAATACGGACAGAAACTTACGATTGGTATCTTCTCTGTCACGTGTGATATCACCTGTGGCAGATCGATTGGCAGTATCAGTAGTGGCAGCAGTTGCAGTAGCAATAGCGTTGTGGCAGTGACGAGTTCAAAGATCAGAGAACAAGAGCAGAGGTCATTCGATTAGTAAGTTGGCCCAGAATGGAACTCGCTGGTCAGAGTGTTGAAGAGATACTCATTGGCTTCAAGTATTAGTCAAAGTTAGTCAAGAAAGGTATTTTTGAGCCGCGTGTGCATTGGTTTAAGGTTTTTTGTAAATGGTTCTTAGTTCTGGCTTGGTGATTAATCGAGTGTGTGTGGTTTGCGACAGTAATAAACAAAGTTGGTAACAAGCAGATTGGTTATGCAATTAAAAACAAAGATCATACAAGGTGGTGTGTACAAATAAGTAAAGTAAGAATGCTTTCAATAGACATCAATATGGGTTTCGAGTAATTAGGCTTAATTATGAGATATAGGGTATATGTATATAGCAGTTCTTTAGTTAGATTATATCAACGAGTTACATTAGCAGAGAAACGAATTCTTTTCAAGAATCAACGCAAAAACATATTTATGCAAACGAATATCTAAACAATTATTATGAGTGGTACTTGATCGTTTTTTAATTGGATTGGACACTTTTATTTTTTGTTGTTTGTTCGACGATTCAAACTGAGGCGAAAAGCAAACCAAGGCTTAAGGAAACAAAACACAAACTGATATTGATCGGATAATGTGTGTGAGATTTGAGTGGGCGACGAAATGTGCTATCCACCTATCGACTGGTGGCCTGGCGTTCAAAATAACCTTTCCGGGGCAGTTGCAACTATATTGTTGCAGCTGCACCACGCATTTTCTGACTTATACCGCATTGAGTGGTCTAGGGGTCTAATATTTGATTCAGAGACGAGACTTTACCCGATACAGATCCACGCACATGCACCCGCTTGGGTAGCTCTGGTGGCGTAAATGTGGGTGCAGGATGGTGTTCATCTGTAAAATATTTTGGTTCGTTATCGCACAGCTTCGGTAAATCAGATTCATTGTGTATGCATTTCTTTTTTTTAGTTTTGCTTTTTTTTTGTGTATTTATATGGTCAAGCTTTGTATGTGAAGCTTATAATTGCTTTTGGAATACAAAAAAAAATTTCTTTTGTTTTGTTTCTGTTTTTTAAATATTTTTTTAGGGGGGGGTTGTGTTTTGGTTTTGGTAAAAAACTAAAGCAGTAAGAGTTTTGGCTTGTTTGTAAAATAAACACGAAACTCGAGAGAAAATTATAGAAAAATCAGTCTGACTCTTGGGAAAACCCAGGAAAACCGGACCAACTGAAAAGAAAACTTAGAAAACGGCTTTCGGCCGAAATTGAACGAAAGGTGTTCAAGATGGTCGGGGGATGGTTTATTGGGATTCATTTTAGGATATTTGCTTTACGGAATATCGAACAAAACATGCAAATAAATATGAGTTTGAACAGAACTTGTGATGGTTTATACATTTATACATACAGGTACAAAAAATAGAATATTTATATATGAAATACAATAATACAAGTCTAAGCAAGCGTTGGTCTTTTTTTTTGGGATACAAACCAAATTGTTAAAAGCTTTAAGCATTATTTAAGCAACACGCTGACTATGTGCGGATTAAAAGCTGGGTAGCAAGATTGGTAATTATTTAGCAGACTTTCTTGATTTTTATTGTGGACTTTAGGCTCGGTGGAATTCGGTTTTGGATTATTTGGATTATTGAAGCATTTAATACTTAGACTGCTAGAACTGCTAACACCCACTTAAAGAACATTTTCAAACGATCTCTCCAACTACGAGTTGCACTATCTAAGTAAGCCCCTTGCTCAGTATGGGGGCTATATTTAAGAGTTCTATTATCGTTTCTTTATAGCAAGTAAACTGCATCGAATTTGGAATTTTTCGACATCTAATTCATCCTTTCCCCCTCTCCTGTTTTCTCCCGGGAAGGGTGATGTGGTGCGCGGGGGAAGGAGCTGGCGCTTTATGATTCGGGTGAGTTGTGATCGAATTGTGGCTCTAATCATTGGCTTCAGTTGCTTTGCTTTTCACAGGTCATTTGCATTTATTCATGTTGGTTTATGTATGGTTAAATAATAACTTACTTTAGACTATACTAAAGGAATTGTCTTTTGGAGAACTAAAAAGAAAAATAACTTATGAAAAACCGTGCACTGGCACACCGTAGAAAGAAAATGAACGAATTTCTCCAAAACTCTAATCAACTCAAACAAATAATGATATATTTATGTTTAAGACGAGTACAAATGCGATTTAATCATAGTATTTTCTTTTCTTTTTTTTTGTGGTTTTTCATGTATTTTGGAGTTAGTTTGACTTACTTGACAACGAGTATTCATCGTCTTCTACACACACACACAGAGACATATAAATAGGAGTATTGTAGTTGTAGTAGTTGATACGGAACACGAGTGTGTGGGTAGGGGAGGGAGTACAATAGAAAGATGATAGGTTTACATATTTAAATACATTATAGAAAGGATCAATTCCAGACGCAGAAGATTGAGTTTATATATTTTACAGAGAATGAGTGTCTGTGAAGGATCGAGTGGTGTGTTGTGTTCGGAGTTCAGATCCTGCAGATCCTCCGTGGTGTATCGTGTATCGTGTTCAGTGTGTGTGTCTTGATTACCACATAGTATAGCGGAAACAGAAATTATTTCTATCCTAAGATTCGTGAACAGTAGAAATTGAGAAGTACGTATCACCAATTAACTACACGACATTATGCAATGCGATAGATACGATAGATACAATACGGTACAATACACAATATATGAAGTTAACGTTTGTACAATATAGTTTACGATATACGAGTATACGAGTACGAATAGTATTATGTAGAGTATGAGGCATAAAGTTTTTACTATAAACACACCGACTCGATATGTGGGTGCTCGGTTACACAAAAACGTATAGTATATGGTATGGAGTTCATACGAAAACACAACGCCAGAATCGAGTATGAATATTTATCGGAATATGTAGTATTGCTTTCGAATAATTCAATTGACTCAGAACGAAGTTCGGATTTTGTTTCGTTGACTTTACTACACACTCACACGCACACTAAGGTTAAAGTTGATTACGAAAAAGTACACAATTACTAGAACGAACGAGTAGAAACGAAACATGTGTGTGTTGTGTGGTGGGTGTGTTTGTTTTGTGTAGCTTTTGGGTGTATGTGTGCAATTGGGTGTGTGGGGTGTTATTGAAGAGGTGGGGTCGGGTCAAGGGCTGTATGTGTATTTATGTTTCAGTGTGTTCTTTTTTTGAGTTTGAACTGACAAAGATTGATTGATTTTCGATTGTTTGGCTGCCTGATTGATTGGCTGAGTTTTGATTGGATTGACTGAATTGCATATGCAGCTGAACAATAGCAATTAGAGTTTGTTAGTTGGCTATTATAAACATGTTAAAGAGCGTTTTTACTTGGTTAGCAAGAGTCTAGGGCAAATGCAATGATCAATTTTGAAACGCCAATTGAAAATCATGGTTTTGATTATTGGTTGTGGGTTGGGTTTTCTTGTCTGGTTATGAAATGTATGTTTGGTATGCTTATTTGGATACAGTAGAGACAGAGGATAGAGATAGATAGATAGAGAGAGAGAGAGAGAGAGAGAGAGTGAGAGTAGAGTAAGTTATACGTACTTGCACGCCCAACCATTTGTACGGCTCGGACGCCTTTCCGGAAGGTGGCCACTGTTTTTGTTTCATGAAAACAGAATTTTATAGGATTCGTGTGAATAGGTAAATGATGGCAAGGTAATGATTGTTGATTTTCAATATTATTCAATTAAACTTCTTCTTCGTAATCTTCATCTGCTTATCATTTCGAACATCATTCAAAAAATGATGATAAAATATACGAAATAAAATACTCTATTAAATAAATCATAATTAAATCACACGGCACACGTTTTACTTGAACTCTCGTTAAAGATATGTAGATATATTTATATGCGGTATGTCTTTTATGATTATAGTAAGATATATGTATGTAATGTATTTAAGGAATATATACTAAGTATGCGCGCATCGTGGACGAACCAAACCAGAAATCGTTGCAAACTAATTTAGTTCTATATAAGAGATAAATGTTTTATTTATACTGAGAACGATAGAAAGAACGATAGAGCGATAGAAGGATCAGAGGTACACCTGAAATGTTTCACCTTATTCCCTAAAATTCCCATTTTTTCCATCTGATTCCCACAATCTAATGTATTATTCAATTTCTAGTCATAATATGCAGAGGGTTCGGTTATGGGCGGGATTCTTTGGCATTTAGCGGCTAAGAGCTATCATGGGTTTAGCGTTAACTATAGCACAAGACGGTCACAGACTTACATCAATTTAGTATATTTTTTTAGGTTTCCGGGTTCAATTAGTTATTAAGGAATCAGTTTTATTTAAAACCAATTTGGAGGACCAAATTTTGGGAGCGCAGATCAAAGATTTTCAGCTTTACTTTGGTAGGTTCTATAGTTCTGGCAGATATCGTTAAAGGAATTTGACTAAATTCAAAACCTGTCTTAAAAATCTTTGAATTGGCACTTTTTTTTAGATTCGGTTAGATTATATATAGCAGCAACAAATAATTTCTTTGGCGTCGGTATAATATATACGAATATTAATAATGGGTAGAGCGCCGCAAATCGCAAATTAATTAATTAACTTTCTTTTTTTTTTTTCTTTTGTGGAAATGGTTTTGAAAGCGTACCCTCCATTGTATTCATCACCGATGTGATGCCTTGGTTGACCATGCCCGTCTGCATCATAATCATGCCCACATCTGCAAGATGGTTACATTTTGGTATTCAAGTTGACACTCGCACATACACACATAGATGGGATACATATATAACAAGTCCGGAGATCTGGGATCGGATCTGGGAGTGGATCACAAACTTAAGCACTAGGCACTACGAATTTTTCAACTGCTTCTCCACACATATACACATATGTATCATACAGCTGCAGAATAGAGCCCGTTTCGTCTTTATTTTTTGAAAGCCATAACACAGGCAACGCAAACTCGGCAAACTTACTAACTACTTGAGAACATTTGCAGCTAATTGTAAGATGGGTGTTTACAGATTAAGTTTTAGATTCGTAGAGTATAAGTAAAGTTTAATTTAGGTGTTACGCTACATAGAAACCAAATACATAAACGTTAGTTATTCTCTGGCAACTCTCGGTTAACATCGGATAGTAACCTGCTCTAAAGTTATTTACACATTTTGCTTCAAGTAGTCGCTGTAGCTACTCTCGATTATATACAATCGCAATTAAAATATATATATATTGTATATTAGATTAATATAAATAGAGCTCTGGTGAGTGAGGTGAGTGCCACGCCAAGAACACAAATTAATGAAAAAGTGTTGGGAGGAATTCGTGAAGACGGCGTCGCATTTCAAGAACTTAAGTCTACCGGTAAGTATTTTAAAATAATTTAATCGTAAGTATTAGGAAGAGTATTAAGATTAGATCTGGATGCTGTAAAGGTGAGTTAAAATTTATTTAATTTGAGTTTGTTTTCTCGTATTAACATTTCTTTTCGTATGGTGATGGAGTGATAAAATGTAAATTGACTTTTGTGCTCATTTCCATGCACTTATTGGGTTCTGGTATTATTCTCAACACATAAGTATAAAGTACAAAGAGTAAGAGGGAGTTACAGAGACAGAAAGAGAGAGCAAGAGCGAGGATTAGCGAGATAGACTGTTAAAAAAATTGTGCAGATTCGGATTTGGAATATAATTCAATTATCAAAAGACTTGGCAAAGGTACAAAATGTATCAAAATACTGATGTCGAATGCTTTCATGCCTTTTTAATGAAATACAAAGCGAGTAGATTCATTGCAAAGTAAAGTTTATATTTAAAAAATGTAAAAATATTATCCGTGGCCTCCTTTTTCTTTAAATCATTATGAACACCACTTTATATCCTTTGTATTTCACGTTGGGCTTTATATCCGGGCTAAGCACATTTGTTTTGAAAAAATTGCGCATACGCCCCGTAAAACAAAAATGTCATTTGGAAACTTAAAAGTGGTGAGACTATTATGGTTGTGATGGCCAAAATAAAAACTATGAGTGAGTTTAACATTTCTTGCTGGTTGACTGTGGCTGTAGTATTGGTATTATCAAAGAACTGGGGTTGCATATCGCACAAACATATTTACAACGTCAATGGCACGTTATGTTTTGATTGGGCTGGTTATCCTTGGAAGCCATCGGACGGGGGGATATATATGTTATGTATATGGGAATATATATATTCAATCGTTACAAATGTGAGTGTAATTAACTGTTACTTCGTGGGTTACAAAGAGGCGCATGTCAAAACAAACAGTGACCAAAATAGAACTGCACAAGGGCAAGATAAACGGGCAGGACGGTTCAGGATGGTTCAGTTTTTCTCAAATATTTATCATATAGGTAGGTATATATTATATGCTAGTGAATGGTTATGATATCGGGGCTCTGAGCACACTCCAAAATGGCCAATGATTTCGGTTTGCAAAACTGTATCAAAAACTAAAGACAAACAATCAAAATCAAAGGAAAGGTCTTGATTTTGTTGTGCTCTCGATTGATTGGTGGTGAGGTGCTCGGTGGAGTTAGATTGGTTCGGGTCTGGGAATCGGGGGACCTTCAGTCCGTTGTATTTAATGGATGGTCAAAAAGAAAACGGGAATATGCATAATATGTACTTTATACAAAAGTTGGAATTGTATTTGGATTCGGTATTCGGTATTGTAGTTGGAATAAAACTTCAAAACTGAGAAGTGTTGGTGTGGAGGTATCGTGTTCTGGTTTCTTGTGGGAAGTTAGTGTGATCTTTTTCTTATTCATTTGATTATTCGATTTGTTGCTTGATTTACCTAAGTCATCGAATTTGCTCCTGGGCTGAACAGTCACTGTGGGACAAAGTTATGGCATTGGATTGTATTATTTGGTATTAAATTCGATACGATTTGGATTTAATTGGTTGTATTTGGTTATGCCACGTTGCAAGTGCAGAGCATCCAGACGCACACAGACACGCACGAGTGGGTGTGCCGCAGTGGGTGTGAGTGTGCGTGTGGTGCCCCCGACAGTTGCAACCACGCGCCAATGAGTATTATTGATTCGATTCGGTTATACATAGTTAGTTGTTGTGGTTGTTGCATTTGCAGTATTTGGTTTAGATTTCATTGAAGGCGAGGGCCACACGCGCCAACACACATACATAATAAATATATAATAAAAACATGGATATTTTGTATAAAAATATTTAGAAATATAGTTTACGAATAGGTATCGAGGTAGAGTGTAAAAATATGTAAATATTCATAAAAGTTTAAAAGTTTGCGCCTTAAATCTAGGATCTGCCTGAACGTTGCTTACGAACTAAAATCGAGTTATTTTTCATCCTACTATTTCTGTTTTGGCTTATTCGACTCTGGCCGTCCTCATACCGTTCGATACACGAAACGAAACACTCAAATCAAATACATATCGAAATGAAAACGGATAAGTTAAATTAAATCCATGGATACATAAAATACTCTAGGAATAAACTTAGGGGGAGTCGGTACAAAGGAATGCTTACAGTTTTTGCATTTGCACTTCTTGATCAGCGTCTCGTCCTTGATGTCCTCGTGGCAGGCTTTGCAATAGAACCAGGCACTGCCAATTGGATGTAGGTATTAAATATTAAATATTAAAAGATTAATTATTCACTTACCGCTTCACCTCGTCGGCGCTTTGTGCTATAAAGAATCCTTGCGTGTTGGCCTGGATCTTGGCCCCACGCGGGTTTATGGAAATCTTGCTGTCCGCACCCTCCTCGGCCCCCTTGATCTCGATGGCGAGCAGCAGGAGCTTCAGCTTGGAGAAGCACAGTCTAAACGGCAGGAAGGGGGAGTCCAATTAGTCTCTAATCGGACAACTTGGCTTCCACTTAGTCTAGATTGCTTTACAAGTCATTGAACCTAGTTTAGTTTGCTACGAAAGTGTAGTTGAACTCTCTCAAAAAACGGGCATGCACATTGTGTGTGGGTGGTGATGTGGGTGTTAGTGAGTGTGTGAACGGGTGTTGAGTGTGATTGTCTAGGTGTCTTGGTGTTAGTGAGTGCCCTCAAAGCGTACACTGTAAAAACAAAACAATTGACGAGTCAAAAATTGGCATGCCGGGCAAAATGCTTAGAAGATAAACTAGAGAAAAAATCTTTTGACAAAAAAATGTTTAAAAATCGTAAACGAAATCTAAAAAAACAAACTACAGATCATAAAAATCTGCGCTCTATGGTCGACTAGAATGCACTCTAAAAACGGTGGGACAATAACAATACATTCTGCACATGCAATGAGTTCGGGAGTTCGGCGGAAGTGGAGTCACAAAGTGGAGCTGTTCTGGTGAGAGTCTCTAAGAATTATTTGCGGTGTACGTGTGGTTTCTTGACTGGGCGGGCTACTACTACGAATTACGAATCGCAGCGAGCTGAGTTCGGTTAGCAGGCGATTGTGGCGATCGGATGCGGTTACGGATACGTATACGGTTGCTAATACGGTAACAAATGCAGTTTTAGCCAATTGTCATGAGTGTTGGTTGTAATATACAGGTTGCTCAATGCGTTCGCCCTCGGGTAATGGTGGCTTTTCATTTCTATGGGCTATTGGTTAGAGCTTGAATCGGGGGTTCGAGATATATGTTTATGTGGCCAAAAAGGTGGGAGGCTGGGAGAGGCGACAAACGGTTGTTTAGTTGTTTAGTTGTTATTATGAGGAAGGAGAGTAAATCAAACAAGAATCGAATTCAAGTTGGTAAATAATAGGAAAAAGAATTGGTAAACAAACTTATTTTGTACAATGCAAAAAGTTGTAGTAGTAGAAGTAGTAGTAGTAGTATTTTTTATACAGTTTGCATATAACTTTTTTTATATTTTTGTTCTCTAATTTCTCATTTTTGAGTCTTACTCGCTGGCTTGTGGGAATGTCATGCCGGTAAATGAAGGTGATAGGGTTTCGGTGTACATCTCACACCCTGTACCTTGAAGATAATCATTTTGCCAGGCCTGTGTGTCTGGTGACTGAAAGTTAGAAAATGGTTTTGTTGTGGTTTGCATTTAGTAAGTTCGCTATAGTAACTACGTGGCACAAAGTCGGTTTGTTTGTTGGTCTGTCTGTTCTGTATATATTTTATAATTTTTTATTTTTGTCGTGTGGCAGGTGAGTTTACTAGCAGAGACTGAGGTGTCAGGGAGCAGATAGATATATCATACATATGTATATATTGGCTCGCTGGGATCGGGACACATCCTACGCATCTCATAGCTGGGACTTGACTGGTTTCTTGGCTGGATTCTGGTTTCTGGGTTCTGGAGTCTATGGCACACATTTTCAATAGCTGGCAAGTACTAAGAGTGCTAACAGAGTGTTGTGCATGTTTTCTGGATCAGGCATTTACATGTGGCTTTTACTTTTGGATTTGGCTTTGGCTTTGGTTTTGGCTTTGGCTTTGGCATAGAAATACTGCTTCGATTCTCTGGTTGTTGTTTGGCATTCGGTCTGTACACTTTCTGGCGAACTTTACAGCATTGAAGAAGGCACGAGCATTTTGGGTGGCATCAAGACTCAACCGAACCGAACGTGTGTCAAATGAGAAGAAATCAACAAATCCAACTTATATCATCAAGGAACTGAATACAAAATAAGGTCCAACTCAAAACAAAAATGCACGCTGCAAAACTTAGAACTGTTTTTTAGAGAGACATATAGAGATAGAGATGTTTCTGAGCAATCCGCTCACACAGATACCATACAATTAGCGAGTGTGTGTGTGGGTGTGTATATGTGTTTGGTTTTTTTTCTGTATCTGTGTGTGTATGTGTGGGTGTGGGCATGTGTGGGTGTTCGTTTGTCCTTAAAATAAAGAGTCAAAAGAACTGTCTTGGCAGTTTGAAGTTTGCTTTTTGGTAACGAAAGAATAGAAACCGTATTTTATATTTGCAAACATTGAAGGCATTTTGAACAATTAGAACACTCAATTACACAAAGAATTTGCTTGAAACAACGACTAATTTTCACAGTGTAATGTATTGTCAGTGTATTTGCGTGTGTCTTAATTTTTATTTCTTAAGTGTCTTGGTTGGAACTGATAAATCAGAAAAAAAAAACTAGATTCCTTGGCAGGCACCTTTACACGTTGCAACACTTAGATCGGTGTAAACGTGCCGGAGTCCTCGTTTGAGAAGAATTCAAAATAATATCAACTCAAAATGTTTTACAACGACGATCAGAACTGAGTGAAACAAATAACGTGTTTACTTGTGGTGTGTGTGAGAGTTGAGATGTGTGTTTTCCGGCTTAAAGAAAACCCAATTGTGATTTACACAACTTTTGCAAATCACAATTAAGTTTCTAAGCCAGACATGGTGTAGGATTTTTTATTGTATTTTTTTGTTCAACGCTGCACGATTAACAAGTAGTAGAATAGAGTAGGTAGTAGTAGATACGATATAGTATTTTAATTTTAATTTTTTTTTTTTTGTTTTTGCTGGTACGAGTATTACGATATAGCTTATGGTTGGAAAATTGGAAAACTGCCTGCTGCGTGACTTACTCAGTGGCCTGAGCAAATGGTATTCCAATAAATGTGGGACTCAATGTTTCAGTGTACATTTCCATGCCAGTGCCGCGCAGGTAATCATTTGTCCAAGACTGCATGTCTGGCGACTATGGGTTAAAGACGTAATATAGAGACATTTGATTTTAAATAAATGGTACACCCCGCATATTGATTGATTGCCCCCTCGGTGGCGCATCTTAGCAATACAACATACATATAGTGTTGTCTGCGAATCTGTAAATCTGTAAAATATCTAACACTTTTCCGGCCTGCTTTTAGGTAACGCCAGTTGTGTGATTGTGTCTGGTATATCGTTGGTGAATGGGCCAAATTCTCTGGGCCGTAAACCGTACTTACCGTCTTGAACGATCTCATGGCAAACAGATTGGCCATCATCGTCGAAAAGCCAGGAGCCAGACAGCTCTGGGCAATGAAGCCCAGCTTCAGCTCGGCCAGGCAAATGACATCGTCGCCCTGTTTCCAGTCCCACGATGGTATGTTCAGCAAGTACGCCTACAAAATACAATCAATATAAATATGTTATAAAAAGTATATCATTGAAGTGTTTACCTTATTGTGGTATTGCATCAGCTGGATGATGACTCGAATGTCGTCGCTGTAGTTTTTGATCGAGATTACTCTCATGATGTTGGCAGCATCTTCTGCGTCGGGATCTTGGCAATATTTGTTAGCTAGCACCAGGCAGGCATCGGCTTCGTGAACCTTTGGTGGCCAAAATACCATTTGGCCGGCAGGGGAGATCGAAAAGTTACCGATTAGAACGGGGTCTTGAAAGTTTGGAGTTTGGTTTATGGTCAGACTATGTCTATGGGCATTGGATGTTTGTCTCATGTGAGTTAGTTTTGTTATGTTGAACTGTTCAAAGTAGTTTGTTATGGTTCAGTGATTGTTATTGTTACTGTAACTGTGAAGATATATTGCAGAGGTGTCACGTTTAGAGCATTGTCCACAATATTAACAATTAGTAAGCGTTTAAGGTTTACACGCACATTGACTGGACAACTATGGTACGAGTATGAGTACTTAAAATGCCACAACTGATGTGTGTTTTGGTTTATGTTGTTAGTGGTCCGATCTGTCTCAGATCGCGGCCAGATATCTTGCATATACATTGCGTACGTAGTAGGTATCTTTAAGGTACGGTTATTCATTAGCATTGCCCTATGGGGGCGGTTAGGGGAGATAGTAAGCGGTTTTTCAGTTGCTGGGTGGGTGGGTTGCTGGACACAGTCTTTTGGTTTCAACTTCAAACTAAGGACACATTAAGAAATCATAAGGCGAACGCTCGGTGCATGGCTGTGGGTGGCAACGAGTGGGATTATTTATATACATAAAGTACGAGTGACACAGACGGGTAGGGGTGATCGGTGTACTGAAAGAACTTAATCAGATTTCAAAGACCACAAAACTAAAGAGCAAATCAAGTGGGCATTAGACAAAAGATTAGCATTAGCTACAAGCACTTGATATTCGATTATATATGACATACACATGCATCGGCTCACATGCAGTAGATATGCTTTAATGGCGAACCCAACCAAGCTTATTTATCTTTACTTCTTAAGGGCACTCGCTGACAGCTGCGAGGGATACTCAAGGAAATCGATGAAGCTGATATATACACGAACTTATCCCCACGAAAAGTTATATTAAAAAAAAACACTTCAAACTGATTGTTAATCCATACTATACAGTAACTTAACAATTACATTAATATACTTAGCACATACGTAAATACGAGATTACATTAACGTTAATGGCTGTAAATAAAGAGGCTTAAACTAAGGATTAATTAAAATAATTAATACTTTGTGTTCAAAAGCAACATATGGTATTCATACTTGTGTTCTGTATTTGTGTTTTCCTGTTTTTCAGTTGATTTATGTATTTTTTAATTGGTTAGTCGAGTGCTGGGCCAAAACGATATAAGTACTAATGGAAACGGCGATGCTATTGTACACTAAACTAAAACCAGGGAATGCATAATGGGTCACATACATTACATATGTATTACGCGAGTGTCGATTGTCCGTGTAGGCTTCAACATACACACACATACACACTTACACACAGACATATACAATATACATAGGTTTATTTATAGGCAGGATTTAATTACATTTGAGCGTTCGTTACAATACATAAACATAAATACATAAATAGGTACCAAAGAGGCCGAGCCCATACAACTTAACTTCTAGGTAAGCTTTGGTTAATTCATAATTAAATCAAAGCTTAGCTCAGATCGACACACAAAATGTACACGAAAAGGAAAGTTGGGTAAATGAACAGAAAGAAAGCAAACGAACGAACATATAGAACAAATAAAATGATAATACATTTTCGTTTTACCTTAACCCTCTGCAGATCGATCGGATTCATAATGGTTCCTTGGAAGAATTCCACGGTGGTAAAATGACGTTTGAACAAACCCTCAAGTTCCAAATCGGGTGGTTTACTTTATAATTTTTTTGGTTTTGTAAGTTTTTGTTTTGTTTATTTTTTTAGTTTGATTTTTTTTTTGTGGAAAAATAATACAAAGTTTTTAGAGTTTTCAATGATTCCAATGTACACGTGGGTTACATGGATTGTATTCATGGCAACAGAAGAATATCGTTGCAGGTGAGTGCGTCGGTGTTTAAAACACAACAAACAATATACAAATATATATGGTTATTGTGCAGTTTATTGAGTCCGCAAATATGCAAATGAAAATAGAAAGAAAAACAAACAATGCAGACAATTGTTGAAAGAAAATCTTCAAGCGAATGTGCAACAAAAATAAGTGTGATTCGGTAAAACTAAACTAAACTAAAAGTAATAAAGTCAGAAAATGTAAACTCTCCTCACTTACAATAAATTGATACTCTAGACAAAAAATTTTCTTAGTAAACTAGTTAACATTACTTATCTAGGCTCAAGACTCAAAGAATTCTATAGGTGAATAAAAATTGCACGAATATTTTACAAGAGGTTTTTTTTTAATTGAATTTTAGTTTACTACGATGTCGAATATAAAATATAAAGGTCGTGAAATATTTGTAGCTTATTTGGTTTGCTTTCAGCTCGATTCGAATAAGAAGGAAATATTATTAAATTGAAAAAATCAGCTAAGGAGGTCATTCCATTAAGCGGGTTAAATACATTAAGGCAACGTAAAAAAAATACCGAAAAAGTATAATGTGAAAAAGTGTTACGGGGTTCTTAACTAAAATCTATCTAAAATTAATTTGAACATCATTTGTTGTTAGGCGCGACGAGGAAAGTGGATAAAAATCGTTTCCTCAAAAGCCCCAACAGCAGCAACCGGAAACCATTAATAATAATGCTATAATAAAGCTATAAAATTGCAATAAAAATAAACATAATTCAATTGTTCAAGTTCAAAGTGAGAGCGAGCATAGATAGATGGCATATATATATTTATAAATGGAGATCAGGGGTAGGGGCGTGTCATTTTCGATTGCTGTAGATTGTTTGGTTTTGGATAACAGAGTTTCGTAGGTTGAACGGAGTGAAGTTAGCAATTGGAGATCTAAGTTGTGGCCACGGTCACAAAAACATTCACAAGTATGAGTTGCAAGTAATATGCTCGCTGATTACTATCACTTTTGCTGTTTTTAGATGCTGGGATTCCTAACAATCGGGGCTCGAGTATAGATCGTTACTGCAGATCTGTGTGTCTTTATGTTTGCTCACTGGTTGTGTTTGGTTTCTTTGTACCGAGTGTACACTGTAGGTGTTCGAGTGTCTGGAGTGTCTTAGTGATGGTAGGCGTATCAGTGTCGGTGTGGGTGTGGGTGTGGCTGTGTTTTTTGGCGACTTGCTGTGTGTTTGTGTACCTTGACTCGCTCCAGGTCGACTGCGTTCATCATAGTGCCCTGAAAAAAGGCCACTGTGGTATAGTGACGCTTCAGCAGTCCCTCTAGCTCCAGATCAGGTTCTTTGCTATTTAATTGTTCGACGTACGGTTTATATTACATTACATGATATGGCATATATATATATTTTAAGTTGAGTTAGGGAATTAACAAGTATGAAATAAAATGAAAAACATTAAAATCAAAATTCAATTTCAACTGTCAGTGTATTTACTAATTGTAAGGTCTAAATTAATGCAAATACTTAAATTAGTGCCTTCGACTAACTTATCTGACTGGGAGTCTTCACTCCATCTATCGAGATGGCGACCAGAAGATGGCGGAAAGGGTCTTAACAAAATCATTGCCTACTTTCCAGCGCAGCCGCTGACCACCAACTCGTTATTTCTGCGGATCTGCTTAGATACTGCGCTAATTTGTTCTTTTGCTGCTGATTGTAATTAAAAATCAATCGAATACATTTATGAAATAATAAATTAAATTAACAACGACACAACGAATTGGCAATACGGTTGTAAACAGGTATTTCTTCTGCTCGAAACTTGAAAAAGAGTTCGTGATGGACTTACCGATGGAGAAAGACCACTTCGACATCGACGTCCTCCCGATCTTCATGGAGGAAGTCCTTCAGGAAATGCGACACGGACTCGTACGTTATATGACCGCACACCACAATATGTCTGGCAGATGTTGCAGGTGGATAGTTGATTGAAGAAGAGAAGAATATATTAGATTTCTTGTAATTGCAAGCAGGCGGACGAGTAATGCAACAATTTGTCTTAAATCTAGAGTGGAATGCACTGAAGCTCTGTACATGTGTGGCGTATGAAGATGTTTGGAATGAAGTGTGTTTGGGTGTTGCAGTGTAACAGTATTAGTGTGCGATTGAAGCAGCTGTAAGGCTTTGGGCGGAGGAAGCTGAATTTAATTGAATTGATTGAATTACATTCACTTGGGTGGCCCTGCTGTGGCTAAAAAATTCATACCAGGTTTAATCACATGGCATGAATCTGTCAGGAAGCCAAATCTATATTACATATGTACGCTGTCAGTGTCTCTGTATGGGTTTGTGGTGGTTGTGTGCGTGACTATGAGTGTTTGAGTGCTTTGGATGTGTTCGAATGAGTGCATATTCTTGGATGAGTTTATTTATACGAGTATTTTCATTGTTTTGTATTTCTGTATATTTATTTATATCGATTATGCTTTGATATGTTTATATTATTTATCAACTGCTTGTCGTTGCCATGTTATTGTTATCTTTATAGCTTGTCAGTATTATTTGGTGGTAAAGTATAATTACTTTGCATCTTCTTAGAAAACAAACATTTATCAAAAATTATACAAAATACACGAACTCATAATAGAAACTAAACACTAAAATGATAATTGCAAAATGCATGAATTTAGTCTGCTACCCCAGGGGCGTGAACACAACTTAATTCAATGGTAAGAAATAATAATATCGAATCAAAATGAGCATCTTGTCGCTGCAGTTGCACCAATCAGCCGCAACTGCAGCCCGCCAATCGAAATGAAAAGTATTTAAAGGTACACTATAAAAATCAATACGGTTCTAGGTAAAGGCATATAGCTACGCACACCATTCCTTGGTAATAATCAACTTACATGCATCAAGTAAAGCATCAAAAGTAGTCAGCAACTGGCCAACGCATTTGTATTCTATGTACACATTGTATAATACACTACGCTCATTCGGAATATACAGATATACATATTTATAAAGGAACTTCTACGGGTGCTACGTACTATTTGGTGGTAAATAGATTATTTTTGGCTTGGCTTTGAGTATTACTGTTATCACAGTCATGCAATCGGGCAGTCAGGCAAACCAGGCAGGCATTCTTCCCAAAACCCAAGTAATTTCGGGTGTGTCAGTGCCACAAACTACACATGCATACTTCAACTACTCGGTGTCTATGAATTAGATGTGTGAGATTGTCGGTGTATTGTGGAAAATCACATAACTATTTTTTACAGACCATTAAAGCTCTGTTTTGTCTAAAGGTCAAATCATATATAACTAATAATCCAGTCAGCCCATAGAGCTCATCTTTTTTAATCCAAAAACTTTATAAAAATCTGTCATGGTTATGGTTGTGTTTATGAAATCCAGATGCTATTCTATACAAGTGCCAACTGTTTGTTTACCTCTGGTGTGGCATTAAAAATTGTGCTTGTCTAGATCGCTAAAACAAAAGAAGAACTTCAATTTGCATTTAACGAACAAACAATTATAAATATACTACATTCGGTTATTTCTCGTGTTGCTGGTTTGTTTTTAATATTGTTGCAGCTAAGAAAACGAACTGGTGACATTTGAAATTGAATTGATATTTGTTTTTTCTAGATTTTGTATTAAAATGTAGATATAGTGAAAAGGTTTTTTAAATTGATGCCTGGCCACGCATTTTCATCGTTTTATTTTCATATCAAAATAACTGCTCTTTTCTTGAAGATGATCATGAATCAGATACAATATAAAAATATTTTAATGTTAGATCTTCAGATGCGCCAAATCTCGAATCACTCCGGAATGTGCAATGAATGAGAGTGAGTTTTGAAGGAAATCATAAACTTTGGATAGGAGAGATCTTAAAAGAGAGACAGAGAGAAAGTGGAGATAGATGTTTTTGTGTGTAGAGAGATTGGAAGGGCTCGGATACGGATACGATTGTGGAATCGGGTTAAGTTCAGATACGATTACGGTTACGGTTACGAAATTGTATTGCCACCATTATCGAAGTTGTCGGTGGATCCCTCAGCTAGACAAAAAAAAGAGTGTGGTGTGCTCAGGGGGGCCATTTCAAAGGTAACATTTCAAGTCATACAACGATGCAAGTCACCTCAGCCAATGCTTCCTACCTGGACAAAGGTATATCAAATGGTAACGCCGAGCTCATCCATACACAACACTGAGTTACGACAATTGGGTGAAGTGGAGCTTTACTTTTATCCGATTACATTATCCGATACATATTTCATAATCTATGGGTTTGTGTGTACATCTTGTAGATTACTTGTAGATTTGTTTATATTTTTATTGGTTGATCATACCGTTTATACTCGAATGTTTGTCAAAACAGAAGCTCACAAAGAAGAGGAAAACATGAAAATCAAAATCCATTACCAATATAATAGTAAGAGTAAGTGTGAGTGTTTTTATGTATGTTTATAGTATAGGGTATATAAAAGTTGTCCAAGAACTACAACACGGATAGTAGCCGATAACTTATTGAAGGATTTGTAGAGAAAGAATTAGATATACATGTAGAAAGACAGTGAGAGAGAAAGAGAGAGCGTAATAGTAAAATATATGTTGAAAGGATATATGGTTTATTGCTTGATTGTTTTATTCATTTGCTTTACACACACATAGATGATTCCGTTTCGAGTCGCTTCTCAGATGACAGGTGACAGATGACAGTTTCCTGTTGTCATGATGTCACTTTTTACTAATACGTATTTTACATTTCTAGCCAAAAATGTTCAGCAAATTGAAGTCTTCCGTGAAAATTGCTTATTATATACAAATTGCTGTCTGTACTTGGGGAGGAAAAGTCTATGGAGAGCTGGCCTCCTTTATTTACCGAGATACTTATGCATGTGTGTGTGTACATTTTGAATTATATGGATTCTAACATTTACTTATACAATCGAATCAATAATATTATTGTTGTATTTAGTATGCATTATTATCGTTCAATGTTAAATCGTTTAAAATGGATATACATATACGCATGTATATTTATTTATGTATATAGATATATATATACGAGTTACGACTTCGATATCAAGGACTATATAGACAATTACGATAATGTAACACAATAATAAACACCAATCACTGATTCACTTCAAGGGCTAATACAAATGCAAAAAGAGGCTAGGATGATATGGCATACAGAAAAGACAAAAACTAAAGAGTGTACGCATGTTGAATTTCGATTAATGCCAATCATCAGCTCTGACACTCGCTTCACACTCGCTTGATCGAAGGATCTACCGATCGACCTGCAAATTACACGGAATCCAAATTGTTTCTAATTTTATTAAAGTGAATCAAAGGTAAATAATAAGGAAACCCAAAAGCTTAACGCGATCTAGCCGCATCGCTCTCAAAACTGAAGTTGGAACAGAAGAGGCAAACGTGCAAATCAAACGATAAGATAGGATCTAAAGAATTTAGGTTCAAGATCAGGATGTACGAGTACGATATAGAGAGTAGAAAGTAGCAGAAGAGTAAGTTGATAATTTTGGCGTTCAAATTCAGGATGTAGTATGGAAACTCACAACAAGATAGCATTTGGTAGTTAAGAGTACGCACATGATATAGTAGATACACTCAGAACAGAATTTTTAAGTACGAAACAATTGATTTGTTATATGTGGTACGATTCTCAAATACGATATCTGCAAAATGCCAATTCAAAGAAAACAAGAATCAAAACTGGCAAATCAAAACTCAAATCGATGGGCGAAACGTAAACTTAATGAAACTAATGCATAATGCGCCACGCCACGCCCTCGAACACGCCCACCTCCACCGCCTCCTTTTTTTGGGGGCGGAGGGAGGCAGTCGGTCGATATATCTTACTTTTTGTGACGTCTTGAGTTACGTTTAGGTAATTACGTAATGAACTACGTAGACACGCTTAGCTCGAAACAAAAATCGAACTCAACTGAAAAGCAACAAACGAAAAATGAGTTGTTCGAGAACTAAATATTTTGTTTTTTGTTTTTCTTTTCATATAGTAAGCAATATGACTATTTTAGTTAAATTTTCTTTTTGATTTTGCTTGATTTTCAATTGTTGAGTGTGGGTGTTGCTGTTTCTGTTGCTGTTGCATTTATTGTTCCTGTTTTGTGGTGAGAGTTTGATCGATTAAATGTTTTGTAAAGTCTATGTGATTGATTGATTGGCTGATTGGTTGATTGATTGATTGATGGCCCGGATAGTTCAAATGTATAAATGTTGTGTTGTAATTGTTGTTATCGTTAGTAGCCAGAGCATCGTTGGCGTCTGCCAAACGTTCCCACAGGGCGTATGAATTGTGTTCTCGGTTAATGATAGTTGTGATTGGTAGTTTGGTAGCTTGGTCGATTGTTCAATTGGTTATGACCATGTTAGTGGTGACTTTCGACGTTATGCTTTAAATGTGAGTGGCATGTGTTGGGCTTGTGTGTATCTTTATGGACTTTTGGTAGTTGAATCAAAATCAAATTTCGGCTACTTAACCACACTCGCAAAACGTTTGGCATGAATGAAGCGCAAACTAAAAGTAAATTCTATCAATTATCGCATTATCGACTGCTTTTGGCAGAAATTTCATTTTGATTTGGTGTTTATTTTGGAAACATAAATACTCTTTGTTGGTTAGTTACAAATTAATTCGTGACTTTAGGTTTGTTGTTGACTTAAATTTATGATTGGTATTTTATTTTTGTGGTAGTAGTCTTATTGTATTGTTGTATTATTTTTAAATATTTTTTTAATCAGATTTTTGATTAATTTATTTTGGATTGATTGAAAGAAAATTTGGTTTGTCTCACCTTCGCCCTTTTTCATTTTTTAATGTGCCCCCATATTTGGCTCTTGTTCCAATCAAGTCTATAATCTCAGGTATACAACTTGCAAAAATCGCCTGTTTACAGTATGAAAGATAATGATGACAGTGAAGTATTTTTTTTTTCTATTCGTTTTTTGATTTTTGGTTAAACTTAAATAAAAAGCAATATACAAATTTCGTATGACACACGTGGAGACAGAGAGAAGGATCAACAGAGAAGCACACAGATGGGAGGACAGAAAGAGAGCAAGTAGGATGGGGGGCTTGGGGACATCATATTCGAAGAAGGACTCCTAAAAGGACCCCTAGATGTAAGATAATACGGCACATTTGGGTATCGTATCGGATCTACGATTGCTGTTTTTTGGGAGAAATTGCCGTTGGTGGTTCTTGTTTTTTATCCGTTGCGGTTGTAGTGGCCTGTGTAGTGATCAGACCCGACGCCTTTGTTTAAATATGTTTCGAACTTATCAGTAGAAGAAACTCAAAAAATCAAAAACGTACCAAATAAGATCAAATGAATATAGAATCTTATATTTTTTATAATTCGATAAACCGCTTCAACAGTTTGCAGCTAATTTCTTATGGCTCTAATGGTTTCTTGGGGTTACGTGTTGTGTGATTAAGTAACAATATAAATATTAAACACATTTACATTTACGGAAAAATTCAAAGGCTATGTGAGAAATTAACCCTAAGAATAATTTGGTGCCAAGTACACACGCACACACATCGACCGAGAATTATTGACTTTGAACTTCATCTTTGGTGATACGTTTCAGTGCCTGAACTTCAACTACTAATTGTAAGTACTACTAATCGTAAGATCTGGGTGTATTTCTCTAAAAGACTAACCGCGATTAAGTGTGAGAAATGTATGTGTGTATTTCGGGTGGGATTTTCGGTTCGGTACGGGAAAGAGTTACAAATAATGTGAAGACATGATGCTGATACTGAATACGATATTAAAAGGATACTGCAACTCTTTACTGATTACAAGAATAATACATGAATAATTTTTCCTCTAAACGATGATCGTCGTAAAATAGATATATTTTTAGCGCCCAGTGGCGCAGGTTTCGTACTGGTTTTGTTTCGTTTCGTTTTAATATTTTTAATATTTTATGCGTGGCTGCGGCATACAAAGTGGGTGCAAGCAAATTACGACTTTGAAATAGAGATGAGTAGATTGATTGGTTAGGTAAGTTTGGAATTAGTTTTGTATTGGTATGGTAAGTAAATTACAAGTAAATTCAATATAGTATGTTGGATTAATTGAAATTGCAAAAATTGTAACTACTACAACTTTATTTATGTATGTATCGCATATAGAAACAATTGGAAAAATATATGAAAATCGTATCTGAAAATCAAAACTCTATGCAGGAACCAAAGCAGCAACTGGGTGTATATGTGTGTTCTAAATCAAAAAAAGTATACAATGAAACCAACACACAAACAAACAACTCAACAAAAATGCATTTTGATCAATTAATTAAGAAGAAGCCATTAAAAAGAATAATAATGCTTACATATGTATACTGATTCAGCACTAGTTTTGGGGCTTTAACCGTTCAAACTCAAAATCAATGACGCAGCTGAAGTTGCATAAAAACACGCAAAAGTGGCTTTGGTCTATGTACGGTAATAATCAAAATCCAAAACAAAACTAATCAGAAATCAAAAAGTACACACTTGAAATACATAGCGAGTCTACCTCTTTCTGACATTTTCAGACTTTTTCTGTTCCGGCACTCCTTCAAATACTTCTGTAACTTATTTGGCCAAAAATATCTGCAATTGTGACTGGTCGAATGGTTATTGAATGTTTAGCTTTGTTTGTTTGTTTTGATGACTACCAACGAGGTTTTAACGAGCATGCTTTAACTTGAACACAACAAATGAGGAAACCCATCAAGATAGCTCTGGTTAATTAGCCAAAAAACTGTATTAAAAGTTACATTTAAATTTAGTAAGTTGGGGAGAAAACAAGGCCCAATATGTGGGCAACAAAAATGTTCCCGGGGAGCGCAACAATATGAAGAGTTAAATAAAAATATAGAAAATCTTTAGAAGCTTGTCTATATTTTGTTGCTTGCTAAAATTTATGAGCTTGACACTTTATTTATTTTTTTGAATAAAAAGCCGAATGAAACGCACACAAAAATGAAGCCATTGAAATCAACAATTTTAAGGTAGTATGTATATGTGAGTATTATAAACGACATCAAGAATTACAGAAGGATTTGACAAGTAAATTACATAAATTATATCTTTTGACTGCAATCCCTTTAATTCCTTAACTTTTTGTGTAATTTTTGAACGATTTTTCAATGTGTTTCCTTAAAAGTTTTGTTGGTAAACTAAATACAGACACATGCCGCCAAGAAACCAATGCCTTTCAAGTCCTAATTTAATATTTTCTTTTCGTTTTTGTTCATTGTGTTTAGCTTTGTGAAAGGAACGAAACAATGAAATGCTTAAATCAATTAAAACACAAACTCTGGCAAAAGTTTTGCCTTTTGCCCAGTTGCCGGAGAAAGTATGGCATTTTTATGCAATTCCAGGTGACGTCTGACAAAATAATGAACACAAAGTTAGGAAACCAAAAAAGGAACAAAATAATACTTAAGCTGTTGGTTCATTGCCTGAAGTTTAGTAAAGAAAATTTGGTAATTCAAATAGAATTTAAGGTTCTTCGATTGCTGCGGTGTTTTGGTAATTGTTTGCATTTATAATCATTTCTTGTTTATCTTATTATTTTTGTGTTGTATTGTATTTGGTTTTTTTTTTCTCTTAGCGGTACAGCCAGCAACGTGTTCGTGTACCTTTTTCTAGGATCCTTGCTATATGTTCCACCATATTTGCTTCTTTGGGCAGCCAGTTCAGTGATTTCTGGTATCCAACTAGCGAAAACGGCCTAAATTCAACAACACACATACACATTTAGATTGATTGAGAAGTGCCAAGGAGGATTCATAATAGTTTGGTAGTTTTTTACATAATTTATTGTTTTCGTTGGGCTGGTTCTGTTCTGTTCTGTTGAGCTAACAAATTTATTGTATGTTAGTGTATGTGTTTAAAAAGAAATGGACATAATTATTATTCGACGTTGACGCTGACGACGAAGAACAGTGCAGACTGGATACCGCTCTGGCTCACACTCTTACTCACAGTTGGACTCAGAACCAGGCACACACTCACTTTCAAGCACTCACGACACTCACTCGTTTTATTTACACTGACTCAGACACTCGACATTGCACGCTCGAACAAAATACTTTACGGCTAATTGTACATTACTTTACACAAATTTCTTTGCCAAGGATCCGCTTGTTCTCAAACGGCATCTATGTATTTACGGTACTTGATTACATCTAATAATTTACATTTGTAGTTTACAGGACACGAAAGTGCTGGGGCTGCTGCCTAGACAGAGACAATTTCCAGGACACAGTCGGAGAGGGAGATCTTCGTAGCCCCTTCGGGGATCGTTGTGGTGCGCTATGTTTGTAATTAATACGCTATAAGAGATACCGTACTTTGTACAATCCTAGTTGCAATTTACTAAAAGTATTTCAATAAAATACACTTGCTGATTCTTCGGATACAATACGTTAGTAGGGTGATGGAAAAGCAAAACTTCGGCTCACCGAAATTCTGGGTGAACTGGGTTTTGTTTATTTAAATGGATCAGCGAAACTGACAAATGTACTTTTATTGGGAGGAGAAAAAAAGGAAATATGAATCGAAAAATACATATTGCAAAATATATTGCTTCAGTTTGCTCTCTTCATAATTTAAAATTATTTGATAAACGTGTTAGGAATTTAGATAATTTAATTACTTTTATCAATGCGTGACCGATTCTAATTGGGGGTCGTGTTTTTGTAAATGTATGTATATTAGTGGGGCTCTATAGATCTGTGTGGGATGTGTTACAGTAATGCGCCTAAATAGATTGCACAAATGCTTTAAGATATCGAATTAAATATATATGAGAACCTTGAACTATTGCAAATTGATAAACGCAATCTCTTATTATAACTCTGGTGTTAATACGAAACGTTTAAAGCATGGCAAAGTATAAAGTGTTAAACGATAATATTTTATTTCCGAATGGGTGTTCAGAAAACCAAAATACAAAAGTAAAATGAGCGAAAATGAACTCACATTTGGCTAGAGAGTGATTTATGTGATAGACATTGCCAACGAGTTCAATAAAATTGTTTAACGAAACGGAATAAATCAAAGAAAACACAAAAGCCAACCAAAATAAACAAATAAAATTTAAATACACAACCTAAGTGAATGGAACATTTAAACGGTAAATGACTTGTACAAACAAATCAACGAATTATCCAATTTTCTGAATTGTCTCTGATTCGAGCCAAAAACAAGAGACCATTTAAGTTGAATAAATAAAATCAAAAATCAAAAACCAATAACATATGTAACTTGTAAATTGTAACAATAAAATTGTACTTTACTTTTATTACTTGTTTGATGAATTATCAAATGTCATATCTGTTTCGGGCTTTGAAATACTTAGTTTTCAAGGAACAAAATACCATAGTTAAGAAACGGACGACTCGAGAGTCGGCTGAACTACTTTTTGATGCGGGTAAGTCAACTTTATATGCGAGTTATTGATATACAATGAAATTAGGGAAAGAAAGTGAAAGGGTAACAGACTAATTAATGTACCGACTTTAATCAATATTTAGAAATTGTGATTTATCTAATTGGAGTTTCACTTTACCCTAAGTGGGTTCAAAATCGTGTGTGTTCTTTACAAAAGTATTTATTTGTTTGTTTAGCGAACCTAAATCTCAAAAATTTTTGGTATACCGAAAATTCTTATAGGTAAGAGTCCTAAACGGAAAACAATTCCTGATTGAAAGCTTATTCGTTTTTTATTTCTATTTCATAAGTTATACTTTGAAATTTTTAGCCGTTTATAACTTTTTGTGGATTATTTTTAAAATGTAGCTTGGTGTTTTTCACATCAAATGCGATTATTATGTTTTTTAGTTAAGGTTTTTATAGACTACCTCTTTCCGTGTTCTCTTTTCAGTTCACCGCCATACTTATTGCCACTACCGACGAGTTCAATTATCTCCGGTATACTGCTGGCAAACATTGCCTAAAATATTCCATTGTACACGAAATTAACAAAAATCAATTGAGCAAAAATATATGTAGGTTCTGGTTAGGTATATATTGTGATGGTGTCTTATCTTAGCCTAGTTGTTAAAATCATACTTCAGTTACTTGCAGTTAGGCACAAAAAAATTATTTAATGGGTAAGAAGTCGGGGCAGGACATTGACACCCATGGGATGGCTATAACCTAAAAGCGTTTTGGTTCGGAATAATCTGGTATAGGTCCATTTGTTACACAAATATGCGGCAGCCAGCATTAAAGCATGCAAAAAACATTGATCCGTTGGATATATATTAATATGGATGTATTCAACTCCTTCTCTAACCAAGAGAACCCTAAATTGTCCCTAACCCTGGGCTGTGTGTGTTGTGGTATCAAGTATCAGGTATCGGGTATCTACAAATCGTTCATTACAAAAACCAAAGCAAATTGAAAATTTGAACCGAAAAGTGATAAGGTAACTGCATGCATAAGTATCGATTATGGGAAAAAATTATCGAATGGGCTGCGTGAACGAATGAATCGAGTGCCACAGCCGCGTATGGACGCTCGTGTTTATCGGGTGTTTACCGGATATCGCTCGGATATAGCCGGGCGGGTGTGGGCGTGTGGTGTTGTTGGTGTGACTAGTTGTCGTATACGGTACTGTTACGGTAACGGTAAAGATAAAGGTAAAGAAAAGGTAAACGCGTTAAGCTTTGGTGATGAGTTAAGCTAACGAAACTTTTGGGAGGATAAACGCAAATACGAAACTCAGCCGCAAGGCCTCAAATAAAGTTCCATAATTCAAAACTTGTGCAGCGGTATTATTATGTCGTTCTATGTATTTACATAAACGTGGCATGTACATACATACAAAATGTTGTATAAATGCATTTAACAAATGTTTTGAGTATTAGGTCTATTGTTACGTAAGAGAGAGAGAGGGCAACGGGTCAACGGGGTCAACGCATGGTTACGCTATGGTTACATCTAAGTTATTCGAATTCAGTATCGAGTATTAAGTATCGAGTATCGAGAGTGCTACACTCTGGCTAGTACTGGTACTTGTACTGGTTTGCTCTGGCTACTCAACTATTATTTCTGAGCACAACTGTACTATGTACTATTAAGTAGTAGATTAGGCGGCAACCAAAACTTAAATCATTCACACACTTCAGCACTTCCAACCCCGCTGAGGCTTGGCCTAAACTCAATAGGGCGTCGAGGTAGACAGAGGTTATTTTTAATAAAGAGAGAGAGAAACGCTTGCTAAATCTGTATAATATTTATATTCGGTTAAAACTAAAAAAAAAGCTTAGATTTATTGGTATGTCTGGTGTGTGTTCAGACGAGTATTTGTTGAATTTAATCAGTGGTTTGCACTGGTGCACTTGTTTGCGAACTTACCAAGCCGACGAGCAGAAAGAACACGAGAAATGTTCTTCCCAGGACAGTCTCACAGTAAACGTCACCATATCCTACCGTTGACATGGTCACAATTAGGAAATAGACACAGGTCCAATACGATAAACGATGAGCATTATTAAAATCCAGCGGATCGCCAGAGTTCTCCAGCTAAATTTTAAGTAAATGCAAATGGAATCATTTCTCAACTCATCGCTACTATTGGACACTCCAATTACACATCCATATTTACAAAACGTTTATTAATATAAATACAAAGGTGTAGGGTATCAGGTGTGCCCCGTCTCGGACTTTGTAGCGGCGTGCCACGAGGCGTATACGTAATATATCTGGACTAGACACATGCCACGCACTGTCACAAAGTCACACAGGCACAGGCACACCTGATTCCCGGGTGTGCTGGTGTATTAGAGTTGAATGTGGGTGTGTTTCTACATACCAGATGTATAATGCCCGCTGCTGTTAACCACACGGATATAAAAATTGATACTAGTTGAGCCAGGCGTATGGAGCTCGATGTTTTTAGTACGTTTAAGTATTGTAAAATATCTGGAACAGTCATGAGACGTAGCGCTCGAAGAAATCGAAGACCTGTTCGCGATAATACACATGGTATTTACACAATTGCATACACGTTGATGTTTCATAGAGAGTAAGGCACATTGCATGCATACAAATCGATCAGGACACCTGTTGCTTCGCGTGTCATTCTAGATTCTGAGTTCTGGGTGTGTGTGGGAGTTACTTTACTTTACTTTACGTGTTAGCGTGTGTTTAAGTGGGACGTGGGGAATAATTACTGGTATCTGATTGCATTTCAATCTTAAATCCATCACCGATTTGTATGCATATAATATTTTTGGAATTTTCATTTTCATTTTTTAGTTTAGGATAATTTAATAGGGAGTTTTTCGCTTACCGATCCATGTTCGATCTAAATATATTGATACGAAGGACGGGGGTATTGTAAAATAATCTACAAAACTGTACATTTCTAACATAAACCAAAGCTTATCGGACGCCGCTATGAACTGTAAGAGATTGTCAGATTGAAAGAACAAAATAATGTTTAAGAATTTCTCATATAAATCAAAAAGGGAAATCATCATCGCTCCAAACCAATTGATTCAAATTAATTGTTAAATCAACTCAGTGTGTGCGCTGGTGTGGTCAGTGTGTCAGTGTAAAGGTCAGTGTTGTTTTGGGCTTCTCCTGTCCGTGTGGCAGTGTGCAACTTACTCGTATAAAAAAGTAAACCATAAAAAATATATTGAATGCGAGATCGATCTGTTGAGTAATGTTATTACTCCATTTTTGGCATCTTTCGACTTCTTCGCTAGATGCATCAACAAAGTATATAATGAGGGATGCAATGCTGAGTATAAATACGAGTACGACCTGAAAAGGAGAATTTAAGAAAGTGTTAGAAAGGACTTGATTAATTAAGGATAAGCCACAAAACCGACTCTGAGTGGGCAGTGAAGCAAACATAAAGTGTAGTTCATATAACTCATAAATTTATGGCCTTTTCCCCACATAATACATACGAATAAAAAGCCTCCCAATCTCAACAGCTGCTACAATTCAATTCCATAAATCACTGCCTTGTCAGATGACAACCACACTCGAACGCTTCATTGAACCTCCCAGCTTCCTACTCCCAAAAAGAGGAGGAGAATTTCCGTTGAGACAAAACCATAATCGAAACCCGGCTCGGAAAGGAAAAGAAGACCGCAGTAATGTGCATTTTTAATTGCACACTCTGGCCCTGGACTCGGATCTGGCTCTCACGGATCATTTGATTCATGGGACACGGCGGCGTCCGGGCTGGAAACCTGCGGCTGCTGCGGCAATTAGTCGGGGCACCCCGCTGATAAATCTGCGCCGGTCATGAAAGTTTTACAAGGTAATTTCGGATGCAATCGGAAGGCGGCCGGAGGGGGGCTTAAATGTCAGGGATAGCTGCCAGCAAACGGCCAACCGAGGTAGTTCAACTTTGGCCGGCTGCACTTTACTGCTTGTTATGTACGTATGAGTGGGTATCTGGCAATGTACTTAATGCCAATGTAATTGTAATGGCTGTCGCTATCGTTTCGTAATTACTCGGGTAATCGAAAGTAGAAAAGAAACGAACCACAAGAAATACGGAAAAACTAAATTTGGCACGGAGCGGGCACGCAAGCTATTTACTTAGGGTCATAAATTGAAATGTCTTGGCCCGGGCTGTTTACTCATTACTCTTCCGCTGCGGCTCATTGTTGGCATGCAAATTACACCCATACATTCCCATACATACACCCCACAAACACAACCCACAGGACTCACACAGGCACACAACTTACAATCTCCTTAGAAAGTAGTTAGTTGCGCAATAAAGTTTTTGGCAGCAGACAAACTTTGCTAATATCAGAAGCCAGACAAGAATTTTCAAGTAAACGGCAAAGAATTCTCGACGTCTCCGGGATTGCGTATACGTCATGTGGTGTCAGTCAACTGACATTTTCATTAGCCCTCCTGATCCGCAACAGAAAACCTAATGAAATCCCACTCCCGCCCCTGGGGAACGGAATCTGACGTCACAAGCAGGCCCCGATGACTGCAGTGGGTAATAAATGTTGGAGGCAATATGGCGACAACGTTGTCTGATGTCTTCACTTTCTCTGGCCCGTGAAAACTGGGTCAATCACTCAGAATTGGGAGCCGAGCAGACTCTTCCCGGCTAAGAGAAAAGCACTTAAGCCCTGCTGCCACCAAATTGCATCAGCGTGAACTTCAAATCTGGGTCACGAAGCGAGAAAACACGTGTCCCACTCATAACATTTTCAATTCGATTTGTTCGCCCCCTCCAAGCACTCGCCATATGATTTGTTCTCGCCACTTTCATGGCCATAATTCTTCGAATACAGTCATCAATTTTAAGAGCCACAACGGCCGGCAGTTTAATGGCCGAAACACTTGAAAATTTAAGACTCGCTCTATTTTTTGCACACACTCGCATTTATGGCGTGACCAAGTGCAATCGGATGTGGGCGCTGTGGTCTTAAATGCTGACTTTAAGCCCTTGCAGGCGACTTCCGCATCGGAGTGGCGTTGGGAATACCAAAGCCAATTAGTGTCAGCAGCAGGGCTTCAATCCGATTAGAGTTTATCAGAAAGTGTCTTCTTATAAAATCAGTTCAGAGTGCAAAAAATCATAAGATTGCCATTTATGCAATAAAAATGTACTCTTTAAGGAAAAAACTTTTCAAATAAATGTAGAACCTGAAGACCAGTGAACCATTTCATGATAAGCTAGGAAAAGTGAAATGGCAGAACAGCAGGCACGAATTGTGTAATATCCAAATGGCAAGCCATTTATTTTGGTAGCCACAATAACAACGGCTAATACAACAGCGCCAACAACAGAAAGGATAAACAACGAAAAAAGAGGCCGAAAGGACCTCTTTCCGAAACAGCTGCAGAACCAGAAACAGAAACGAAACGAAGCGGAGTGTCTGCCAAACAGCAAAGCCAATTGGCTGCCAAAGGCTGGCACACCACTACGAAAAAGTGGAGAAAGGAATACCAATACCAGGAGCCAGCTACTAGGCCTGGTAATAAACATTCGCAATCTCCTGGCACCACCCACGCCACCCACTATTCCCAGCCCCAACCCCGTTTTCGGGAGAAAGTCAAAATGTGCGCCGCGTTTCATCGATTTTCCTGGTTGTGCGGCTGGCAGCGGAGCCTTTTAGAGAATTTCCTTTTAAGCGGCTGGTATCCTGGCATTTGCCATATTATTTACTGTTATTTGTTGTGGTTCCTTTGGCACCCCCGTCACTTTTCCTCACACAAACATATGCATACCTCATTTCTTGGGGCCCGTTTCCCGTTATTAGCTGAAAGCCAAGCGGGCTGAGGCCGAACGGGGGAGAAACTATCGATAAATGTGCCAGACACAGGGACCCACTCAGCAGGGGGTGGGTGTAGCTGCCTGTTGGGGGAGGCGGGTCTGGGGCCCATGTACAGTGTAGTACATGCGAGCATGGTAATATTCGTTCATCGACTGCTGTGCAATTGTGTCTGCCATTGTTGTCGCTTTTGTTGTCGGGCCTGTCAGGAGGCAGCATTGAACTGCCAAGCGGTGATAGTGCGTGGTCTAAGGATATGGATTGCCAGCATTTGACCCCATGCAGCCGGCCAGGGCTTGTCACACCGCACTGTGGACAGGCTGTGTCCTTGACAGCCAAAGATTGGTTTTTGCTCTGGCTTACAAGTTGATATTCAATGTGATGCATGTTACCACGAATACCACACAAAAGAAAATTACAGTTCCTTCAGAATGGAATTTTTGCATGACAACCTAATACCTGATGGTATAAACTACACTTAAAAATATTCTTCGAAACATTGACCTAATTTGTTTATTATTTTGAAATACATTCCACGACAAATACTAATATCCCATAGATAAGCTTTCAACCAAATTGTCGGCAAGTTCAAATTCAAATTCTTATCGAATGCATTACTTCAAATACCCAATAATACCCATTAAATAGCCACTGAGCTCGTTTGAGTAATTAACTAACTCCCTTTAATGGATGGGCGGTACAACATGACGTATGCGTAATATTTGAACAAAACTGATTTCAATCGGACTTAAGGGCGTAAGGCAGGCCCTCGGGAGCCTTCATGTTAATTCCATCGCAGGCAGTTCAAAATGGAAAACGCCATCCAATCCTCCCACTCCCAGCCATGTCAATTTGTGCTCATGTATTTATTGTACATGGAAATGGCACATTTACTTAGCTGCTTCCGCTGTTGACACGAAATGGCTCCTCGCCCCCACTTTCTCCACCAAAATAAGGCAATCGCAAACAATTTCTACACGCAACTGGGAGCCAGCAAATGTTGGACGAAAACTTTTCCAAATGCATTGCGATGGCACTCTGTTTTCCGGCACTCTGCGAACTTTCGTCAGCTGCAGCCATGGACAAGGACACGTCAACGTTGTATCAATATGGCTTGCAATAATTATACCAGATATTTGAATTATTCATTGGATTTAGAGAGGAAGCGACACTGAAGAAAAATCTAGGTGAATTAATATTGCCATATGTTTTATCGAGAAACTCAAACCCTCATGTATTATAAATGGTTGGGGAATACTATTATAAGGAATATACTTACCAAAATTCGACCAGTTGTTGTTTGACCCGAGATAAGCTCTCCAGCCCAGTCTTTTGCTTCTGTCATAAAGGTGCCCTCGAACTCCTGTTTGTTGCGGGAGGCCTTCTGCTCCTTCTGCTTGGGGTCGTTGGGCCCCAGGTCGGGCTCCTTGCGGCAGCAGATGAACGCGAAGGCTCGCCATAGCAGCACCACGAGCAGGCCAGCAAGGAATGTAAAGATGCTGGACAGCAGAAAGCACCAGTACTTGCGCACCTTGAGACAATCATCGGCATCGAATGGTGAATCTGTTGGATCATCGGCCAATGATTCGACAGTGCTTTGATCACACCCCGACATCCCCTGAAAATGTGAAGAGATATGAAACCAATTAGCTTCCTCGGTTGGCAATTAGTTGACTAAATTTAGCGTAAATCCATACGATAACTGGCGGAAACATTGTTTACGTCATACACTTGACATTTAAAATCAACGGGAATGGTTTACTTATAGTATACGTAGCACTCGGGGTGCAGTACATATAGGATATATTTCTCGACTTGGCGACGCTGGCAATGTAAACAAAATGTGCCTGGCCAAGGGTATGAAAACTTAGCGCGAAATGAGTTCATAAATAATAGTCTTGAGATTATTTAGCCAAAAAGTTTTTATTTTTATTATTTCACAGAAAAAAGAATAATATAACCACACTGAAAATAATATTTTGTGATCTCATTAATCAAAATGTAAAAACATTATTATTGCTTGGGATCCATTAAGTCTATGAATAATTTTTATGAATTAATAATATGCATATAACTATATCTTTAAGATATATTCCCCATCCTTACATTTGTCAATGTGCTGGTGAAATTTGTGCCTATCAGATCGCTTGCCATTTTGGCTGTTTACATTGCGACCCAAACAAACACACGCGCACGAATTAATTTTGTTGTGATATTCGGATGGCTTTTTCTTTTTCAAGTGCATACGAGTACTACGGGTACTAGACAACAACAACGGAATCCGAAAACCAAAATTCAAAAACTGAACGTAACGCCAAAAGCCTCACAATGCGAAACGGAACGAAAACTTGGCCCGCCTTTTATAAATAGCATCAAACAAATCTGTTATTTTTAAAGTGATCTTCTCCTCGGACACACGCACAGCGCACAGCGACACGAGCAACGACAAAAATTCTCATAACATTTTCCCACCGAGCACTCAACACCGACACCGATCCCTGGGCACTGGGCAAAGGCCATCTACTTGGGCATTGATTCCTCCGATCGGTATCTGTATCTGTATCCGATCCACCCACTTATTAGCTTGTTGAACCGAAATTGCATTCACTTTGGATTGAATTTATTGGGACAATCACAGAACTCTCAGGCAAAGGCCAACGCACTCGCTGAATCACTGCACATAGGCATGTGTATTTGCAATTTATATAGTATATACTATATGTATTCGTATGTATTATTATTATATTATGTGGATGTCACACACGACGCGGCACGCACGCTACCCGAATCCGAATCCGGCTAAATGAAAAAGGAGGCACCGAGCGAACCGCACAACTGGCGTCCACCAACTGAACGAGCCGTTTTCCAATTGCGAATGCCCCGCCGGCGGTTCCCAACGATTACGGCGTGGGCCTCTATCTATATCTCCTGGCTCAGGCCCATACTCACTCGCTCTCTATCGCTCTATCTGGCTCACCCACTCTCCGGGGCTCTCCGGCGGATAGCACCTCTCCGGCTGACCGCGAAAAGTGTCAGGGCAGGCGACAAACTTGAATTTAATTAAAAGGCAACGCGACGACAAAGAAAATTGAATTGGGTATTGGGATAAAGAGGATATACCCTAACAATAGGGTAATCATATTTCTGGGTCTTAAGGACATTCGAGACTTACTTTCTTCATAAGGCAGTAAAATATTTTTAATGTTTTTCTTTTGAAATAAATGGTAATCAGTATTAGTATTTTGGATAGTAATATTTTAGAAACCAAGTCCTTTAACATTACAAGGTTGGTAGTACCCTGGGCTAAGGCAGTGAGCATTCTTTGGATAGAAAAGTTAGTGTGTGTGCTGCCTACAATGAATTATTGTTACAACAAGAAAAAACAACGTCAGGCCGAATATAAATAAATAAATTATGAGTTGCTTCTATACATTTTTGTTTTGTCTCTCGCTTGGTCTTCTGCGCCTATACACACACTTTTTGCATTCCTTTTTGTGACCCCACGGGCCCCGGGCAGCACTTGGCCCCAAATGGGGGAGAGTTAGTGGGGGTCTAAAGCGAGGGTACGGTGTGGCAGGTTAACGGGAACGTGAACGTTAACGTTACTGCTACAGTTAACTCGGGCGAGTCACGCCATGCCGCCGGTTAGCTGTCGTTTCATAATTTACGCGCTTTGTTTGCTATTTCCTGCGGGGGCAGCCGTGGTAACAAGTTGGCCCAGTTTGTTTGCACATGCCACTATTTCCACTGGCCATAATTGCTCATCATCCCTTAAAGCTCTATTACCCCCTGACCTCAGCGTGCTGCCTCGAATCTGCATTATCCCCTCCGGCAGCCCACCATCATCGTCATCATCAAAAGCCAACGACGTGCATTTTATTTATAGTTCTCATTTTCAGATTATTTTTTCTCTATATTTTTTTTTTTGCGATGCTTGGGCGGTTAGGTTCTTTGCTTCATTGCATTTACGCAATTATAAATAGAGAAGGAGAAAAAAATTGTTATTCAATTTAATTTGGCTAACTATTTTTGAATATCATTAACCTTGAATTTTGTCGCTCGGTGGCGTATGCGCGATATTTAAGAAGACTTTTTCAGTTCAAATAAAAGAGAACTTTGACACTTTAATAAAGGAAGAACCTAATAAAGTTAATCAAAACAAGAAAGGACTGAGACGAAGTTGAAATAACTAATTGAGTTATAAGATATCGGATAGGATAGGAGGATGCAAAATTATTATTATTATCGGCTGGTGATTCTGATCTATACCTTTTAGGGTCGGTACAAAATTATAATACCCTTTGCAAGGGTATACAAATAATATTTGCACAACTGAGCATTTCTTTCGAAAGTAATTTGATTGAATTTTAAACTTTTTTTTCAAAGTATTCTACTTGCTTGGCTTTGTGGTTGTTTTCCTGTGTGTGAGATTATTTTCAGAGCCCTTTCATCGATCCAAGCTAGAATGCAGTTGGCCCACGTAGAATGAATTATTTATAGCGCCATGTCCAGTGACTAGAACTTTGGGCCCAGATGGGGAATATTTTTCGGTTGAGTCGCCTTAACTGGCCCTAAGACACTGTGTGCCAAGTCAGCAGAATCAGGCGCCTACATAGCAGCTGCGACTAATGAATGCGGCCGGAATAGATAGCTAACGATATAAATTATGCCGCCAGAGTGAACCGCAGAAGCGATTTTGCTGTCATTTGACAGGGGGGCGTCGTGGTGTGGCAGGGAAGGATGAAAGGTGCGGCTTAAAGGGGCTCTGAATGCGGACACCAAACCAATCTAACGGATGAAGTCACACGACTGCCGGTGGATTGATAATAATTTACATTGCGAACTATCGATTTTCGGGGGCGTGGGTGATTCCCTGACCGCCTCTATCTTGACGCATGTCCGTCAAAGCGAAACGCTCGAACGGCAAAGGTATAAGGCATAAGGCAACGGCAAGAGGCACAGAAAAAGACACACTGTCAGAGCCAGAGGCAGAGAGAAAGACAGACAACTGACGAAGCTGACAAATACCCTTCGACTTTTTGAGCAATTTATGGCCAGCACTTGGCCCGCTGATTGGGGCCGTTGATTGCTGGCCACCGTTGGTTGGACATTGTCCAAGGCCGAAGGGCTTAGGCTGCACTTGGTCAGTGTAGGGTGGACGGTGTGGGTCTCTGTGTGCCACATTCTCAAAGGTCACGCGAGCCCCTGCGTACGAAGGGGAGCTTCGGCCACAGGGGGCCATAGTGATGGAAATCCCATTTATTAAATGAAGCGAAACGAATTCGAAATGGAGAGTAAAACGATTCTTAGGGCGTTGGCGGGTAATCACTTGTAAAAAAATGAATAAGGATCATAAAGTATATTATATAATACAAGTTTTCAGTTGAAAAAAGACCACATGAATAATAAATATGAATAGAAATCAGATAATAATAATGGGTCGTAATTAGTTCCCTGGGTGGGGAATATGTATAATAAATAACTAAGAAATAGCCATAGGTCAGTGGGTCGTTAAGATAGTGTAATATTTATTTAGAACCTGATAATGTCTGTTGAATATTGAGTTCTATATGCAAATCAGATGATAAGAGCTCTAATAACGTGTAATAATCAACTTTTCATATTAAACTGCAATGAGAACTATCAATGTTTTTGTAAAACAAATGCCTGTGATTGATTACTGATAACATGACCTGGGGTCTCTGGGGTACCGATAAGAAGAGCTCTACGATTCGGGTTGGTCTTTCAGAAGCTCTGCGGTTATACGGGTATTTTCTGATTCACGTAAGACTTAAAGGGCTTTACCTTTGGCATGATGGGCGGATAGAACGGTGGCAGTTCGTGACAATTTGGACACCAGCTGGCCATTTTTGATGGATCGGTGTGACCACGGCTATTCCAATTAGAGCCCTCAGTGTTGTCGTTGTGGTTGTTTCGATGGGTTTCGATGTGTTTTTGGTTGTGGTTGTGATTGGTATTGGTCCCTCCGTTTTCATATTCGCTTTCTTTTCGGAAAAGTTTTTTTTTTTTTGGTAGGTGTGGTATTGCGAATCGTATATATGTGTGTTGAAGATGGGTGGTGTGGGTGTTTTTTGGTGCAATTTGGGTGGTGGGTGGAGTACTCACCTAGTACAGGCTAAACCACCGAGGCAGGGCTCCAGGGCTGCCAACATTCACACGCTCAAATCGCACATCAATAGACGATTTGTGTTGTTGCAGCTGCGGCTTGGCCTCGCAAATGTTGCACGTGCAAATTTTCAGGCTTTTCACGTATTCCGTTTTCGCTGTAGACACTTCTTGGCTGGCTATTTCATAGTTGCATTACAAATTTGTTTATTTCTTCATTATTTAATTGTTGGTATTTAGATTGGTGTTATCAGATTCGTTAACATTATCAGGTTCATTGTGCGTTTGTTTGTTTCTTTCTTTCTAGTTTTGATCGATAGTTTGTTTTTAAATTTGAATTAGAATTGGAAATTGATTAGAAATCCGTTTATTCACACTGCTCATGTTTCCTTCAATTTTTTTGTTTGCCTACGAAAATTTTCCTTCTTTATTAAGCTGCAAGAGATTTATGGGGTTGAGCGATATATTATATATGAAATATTATTTAAATTGGCATAGAGCCGCCGAGCACGGTAATTAATTATATTTTTTAGTTATGCTGTCATCGTTATTTTCTCAGCGATTTCATTTTAATTTGTTTATGACCACCGAAATTTGTCAAAATGATTAAATTAAATATTTTTAATTTTTGTTATACGCTGTTAGTTTTTAGTACAACAACTAACCTTTTACTAACACAATTTTCCATTGGTGGAAAAATGGGTAAGGATGGAAAAGCAAGGCGGTCAAGTAAATAAATAAATAAAGACGCGAAACAAACTTCAAAGCAGAATCAGCAGCTGAGAGTCGGTTCGGGAGAAGCTCCACCGCTCTCGGACTTTTTCTCAGTTTCTCTCGCCGCCGAGATTTCTCTCTTTCTCCCGTCTTCGGGGATTGCGGAATGGCGTCTGCGCCTTCGAGCGAATCCGAAAATCTGCCTGTGAAAAGCTTTTTCTTCGCTTGCCAACGACGCACATGAATTCTGATTAAGCATACGCCATGTAGGCCCAAAAAATTATTATAATTAATGTATACTTTAATATAATTAAAGATGAGATTATTACGATTATTTTATAATTTTTCTATATTCATAATTTTATTTGACACTTTATAGCGAATCTCTGCCGTCCCCGGGCTGCGTCCTGTTCCCTGCGGCCTGTCGTTGAAACGGAAACACACTGCCCTAGTTTTTAGTTTTCCTTCGTGTCACACAGAAACACACACACGCACAGCACAATCCTCGCCGCACACTCACTGACATGCACTTAACAAGGTGCTTAACGTGACTTCTAACAATGGGAGCAGGACGAAAATCGAGTCGAATGAAAGTTGCATTTTCATAATAAATAAGCAGCGACACAATTTCCCAAGCACGCAAACGAGCTCTGATTGCAATAGGATGTAGGTGGTAAGTGGTAGGTGGTGGGTGTGGGTGGCCGTAGGAGGTGAGCGGAACCGAAGGGGAAATGTAAACAGAGCTGAGCTCTCGTCCTGGCCGCGCATTGAACTCACTTGGATTGGGGCTTCGGTGCCTGGCTTTGTAGATATCTGTATCTACTCCCTGACACAGACACTGTTAAGAATACAGATACAGATACGGATTCGCACGCACACAGGCGACTGCTTTCGGCCAGTGACTGACTGACACACATATACCACGAAACGCGCCCACGATGGCAACGAACACCAAACGGACAACGAGTAGGAAGCAACAAAAATAACATTGACGATGGCGACGACGACAACCGCTCGCCGGGGGCCGGAGGCCGAAGGACGGGGGGGAAAAACGGGACCACGAACCAGCGAACGATACAACTGTATCTCCGGACTGTATCATCGGGTCCTTTCGTTTTGGGAACTTGTGGTGTGCTCGTTTTGTGCGTTCGCATGTGAAAGAAAAACTGGCTCACTGTGCCGTATCTATGACTGTAAGTATGCGCATGAGTGTGTGTGTGCGGTTACTTGTCTGTGTGTTCCCCTAAAACCAATGTATCTTTTTAATGAAAACCTGCAGCAGAGCCCTCGGAAACAAAAGCCCAACTATCGCTATTTTTTTTAATCTTTAACATTTTTCAGTTAATGGTCGGGACTTAAAGTTTTTTGACTCCCGTATAATCACGATTTGCATTTAAAGGCACACGGCCAAACACGCACACCTCTCGGTCATGCTATTTTAATTGAATTTCCTGTGTGTATGTGTGTCGCACATTTTCACATTCACTGAGCCCGTTTTCAACGGATACCGAATTTTTCAGAATAACTGTTTCCCATAATGACTTCGATAATTGATATAATTTGCGTGTAGTCCTTGTTTTTCATTCAGATTTCTTGTAATTAGCAAACGCTTTTTGAAAATTTTTCACTTTCTCATGTGGGTGTGTGTATAAGTCCGTATACATATATGCGAAAGGCACTTTTTCCACACAGCCCCACTCACACACTCACGGAACCCAGACGCGACGCGCTGCGGCCTAAGAACCAACCTTTCTCGTCAGCAGCGTATACAATTCTGCGCGATGTCGACTCCGACGACTTGCAACTCGGTGGCAGGGACCGCTGCGGACATGGATACGGACGGCTCAAGCTCGGTTCCGAGCTTTTCGGAGTGCCGCGGTTGCACGATAATGGACGCTATGTTCGATTCATCAAAATAGGCGCCAAAACCCATTCACTATGAATGAGCGTGTGCAACTGTGTGCGTATTCCTGTATTTCTACCATTATCTGCGATGCACACGTGGCGTATGTGGAATGTTCTTCAAAAACTATTGCCTATTTTTCGGGTGGGATATTTTTGGAATTTTATGAGGTCATTATTTCAATTAAACTTATTAAACATGCTTTTACAAAGATAGAAAAAGAGATTTTTTGTTTTGTTTTTCTTTTATTTACTTATATTCAAATAAATCTTTGTACTTCTCTTAAAAATATTCTCAAAGCAATTAAATTTATAAAGTAACAGAAGATGGCTAACGGAAATTATTTAATTAAGACAGCTATAAATATTATAAGCAAAATAATCTATGCCAATTAACCATAATCATTATTTATTAAAGAACATCTTTAATTTGAATTAACGAACGGGCTCCTAAACTGAGGGGGGTCACACTGTCAACATTTTTTATTGTTTTTAGAGATGAGCTTTTAAAATATCGGTACCGTGACCTGGCAACCCTGCCCGACGTAACCGGCATTGAGATTTCAGTTTCTATTAATAATATTAAATTGATAATACACTAATACTCCATATTAGGAAATCAGGTGATAACCGTTTAAAGGACCATGACGACGGCTGTGCTGGGCGGCGGACTAAGCGGCCTCTCCGCCGGGTACTATCTACTGCGCCGGTTTGGAAAGCCGCTAACCATCTACGAAGCGGCTCCCCGAGTTGGAGGATGGGTGAGGACCGAGAGTCGCAAAGATCGGGGCTTTATCTTTGAAAGCGGGCCACGTACAATTCGACCGGTTGGTATCCCTGGAGCCAATACGTTGGAGCTAGTAGAGGAGCTGCAGTTGGAAGTAAAGCCTATTACCCGCAGTCATGTGGCAGCCCGGAACCGAATGCTTTACGCAAAAGGCCAACTTTGCCTGTTACCCAACAGCCCAAAGGGTCTCTTCGGTGTCAAGCCGCCCTTCACAAAGCCTCTGTACAAGGCGATACTACGGGACCTAGTCGCCGGGAGAACGCCGACCAAGCTAGAAGACGAATCCATATACAGCTTCGCGGAACGTCGGTTCGGTAAAGAGATTGCAGACTACGCTATCAGTCCAATGATCTGTGGAATCTGCGCCGGTGACGCTCGCGAAATCAGCGTAAAATTTTTAATGGAAGGGCTCTTTGAGAAGGAACAGAAGTATGGCGGTGTCCTGAAGGGATCCCTTATTTCACGGTTTAAGGGTAAGATAGATGAAGGAAAGGAAGGCCTCTTTGCCCAGGGTCAGCCGAAGCTTTACTCCCAGGCGCTGCAGGAAAAATGGGCCATGTATGGACTTACTGGAGGGTTGGAGACACTGCCCCGTGCAATGAGGAAGTACCTTGGGGAGAGGGATGTCAACGTGCAGTTAAGTAACGAGTGCAAGAATTTGACCTTCGGAGACTCTGGTGTTCGGATGACAGTTAAGGACGCAGATGTACCTGTGGATCACATCGTCTGTTCCTTACCCGCCCACAAATTGGCCCCATTGGTTAAGCTGCAACACCCTTCACTTTCCGCCCAACTACTGGAAATTCCTTACGTGGATGTGGTGGTAGTAAACATTCAATACCAAGGACAACTTCTCAAACAAGATGGTTTCGGCTTGCTGGTTCCCCCCGTAGAGAAACTCCCCATTCTAGGAGTCATTTTTGATAGCTGCTGCTTCGACATGGAAGGTAACACAGTGCTTACGGTCATGATGGGCGGCCACTGGTTCGATAAGTGGTTTGGCGATCGCCCCAGTCAGAAGCAAATTCTGGATCTGGCCACTCACCATGTGAAAAAGATTTTGGAAATTCGCGAGGATCCCAAGTTCAGCCGTGTTCACACGCTCCACAAGTGCATACCACAGTATACCGTTGGCCACAAACGTCGAGTGGACAATATCCGAAAGTACCTTAAGACTTATAAACTGCCGCTTTCCCTCTGCGGAGCCGCGTACGACGGAGTAGGAATCAACGATGTCATTCTGTCTGCCCGACGTCAGGTGGAAGCACTGCAGCTGGCCTAGTGAAAACCATTCCCTGAAACTATCCCTGTATTTCCGTATATTTCATTGGTGATTTTGTTATATTTGTGTAAGATGGATTTGTGTATAGTAAAGTCTTTCCTTTGTACATAGATAGATCGCTATTACTTTCCATGGCCTCCCAAACAAGGCGGACTCTTCTCTGGCGCCTGCTCGGGCTCCCACTGTTTCGGCGTCTTGGCCTCAATGGAAAGAGCATGCATAAATTCAAATCCTGCCTCTTTCAGAGCATTTTTTATCGTGTCATTCACCAGGCGGTGCCGCTAAAATTAATCTTTTATTAGTTATCCATCAGAACGCTTTGAGCTAGCAAACAAACCTTAATCAGCGTCAGGTCGTTGAACTTTTCTGAGACCACAAACACCCGAAAGTGGGATTCAGAGTACTTAGGAACATTGTGCTGAGGCGATTCGTTGATGACCTCCAGGTACACCGGCTTCAGCTGCGAGTTAAGAGCCTTTCGCATCGCCGACTCAATGGGAGGATACTGTGCTGCGTCCTGGGACATGGTTGCTCTGGGGTTGATGTGTCCTAGGCTAGTAATTGTGGGTGTCAGTTGATTCAGGTTTCGCAAGGAAACTCCAGCGAAGCGGCAGAGAGTTGAATTTAACATTTTCCCAGTCGCACAGCTGTTTACAATTACATAAACATCTGCCTGACAGGGCTGCCTGACACTCAAAAAACAGAGTTGCCAGTAGATTTATTTGTAACGGAAATTTAAATTACTTAAAAACAGGAAAAATAGGAAAAGGAAAAATAACTTCTTGCAGGTAAATCGGGATATGTATCAAGAAAATATTTGGCCTATATCATGGCCGAGAATATCATAATAAACCCAATTTATTAGAATACAAAATCTAAGCTAAGGTTCAATGTATCAAAAATTAAAAAGTTGGTATTTTTACCAAAGACCATATGGCAGCTATAGGATGTAGTCGGCCCGTAATTATAATAATACCCTCTATGAGTGATGGCTATATCTTCCCCAATTCTCATCCGATTCTCAAGCGGAGTACCTTTAACAATTTCTGGATCGATTTGCCACCATTCTGCATTAAAACCCTGAGACAAAATATTTTTTAGATTTGTTGTCCATTTTTCGTGATGGGATCCCTTGAAAATGGGGTTTTCCCCTATATGGCCCACAGTGATGGCTATATCTACCCCAATTCTCATCCGATTCTCAAGCGGAGTACCTTAAACAATTTCTGGATCGATTTGCCACCATTCTGCATCAAAATCTTGAGACAAAATATTTTTCAGATTTTTTGTCCATTTTTCCTGACGGATCCCCTGAAAATGGGGTTTTTTGCTATAGGGCCCACAGTGATGGCTATATCTTCCCCAATTCTCATCCGATTCTCAAGCGGAGTACCTTAAACGTTTTCTAGATCGATTTGCCACCATTCTGGATCAAAATCCTGAGACAAAATATTTTTCAGATTTTTTGTCCATTTTTTCTGACGGATTCCCTGGAAATGGGGTATTTCGCTGTAGGGCCCACAGTGATGGCTATATCTTCCCCAATTCCCATCCGATTCTCAAGCGGAGTACCTTAAACGATTTCTGGATCGATTTGCCACCAATATGCATCAAAATCCTGAGACAAAATATTTTTTAGATTTTTTGTCCATTTTTCCTGATGGGTCCCCTGAAAATGATGTTTTTCGCTATAGGGCCCACAGTGATGGGTATATCTTCCTCAATTCTCATCCGATTCTCAAGCGGAGTACCTTAAATGATTTCCGGATCGATACTCCACCATTCTGCGTCAAAATCCTGAGACAAAATATTTTTCAGATTCTTTGCCCATTTTGTCCCTTGAAAATGTGGACCAATAAAACAAACGTTTCAGAAAATACAAAGATTAAACGTGCGAAGTATTTAATACAAATAATTATCCAAAAGGGGACTTAATTTAATACATCTTAAGTTACTTTATTGGGGGCCAAAATCAACAGATAACGCAGCTCATGCTCCTGATAAGTTTCCTAAGCTTACAAATAATCAAGCGAATATCATAATCAAATCTCATTTACACTTTTAGAATCAGTAGTCTACTAGTTTCTTGAGCTTTGGAGGAGCTGAAATAACCACACGGCCCCGATTTGAAGAACCACTGTTGCCACTTGTTCCATGACTGAACTCTGCCTCTCGGTCACGATCACGTCCCCGCATATGCTGATGCTGCTGCTGTTGCTGTCTATACCGATCGCGATTCCTATCCATGCTGCGGTCTCGTTGTCGTCTGCGTCTTGACTGGCTCCTTCGACTGCGTGAACGTCGACGGTCTCGACTTCCGCTGCGCCGACGGCTTTGTGACCGTCGCTTTCGTTCCCCGCGACTTCCACTCCGCGATCGGGATCTTTGTCTTCGATTATATCTCGGACTTGGTGTCCTAGACCGGCGTCTCCGCTCTGTGCGACTGTTGCTGCGTCTGCTATGTTCCTCTGGCGGAGGACTCCTTCGACGACTGCGCGATCGACTGTGGCTACGTCTTGACGAAGATTTGATCATCATACTTTCGGAGCCCACCGACTCAGCCTCACTTCCAGACAGTTTGCCGCTGGAGGGCGTTCCGTACTTGTGGCGCAGCTCGCGACGCCTGTGAATATGGAGATGTGAGAGGACTGGCCATATAACGAGCCACCCACATCGACTATACTCACCTTCGGCGTAACTTGAGCGCCAGTTCGCGCATCTCATCTTCGCGCTCCTGCTGCTGCTGTCGCTCCCGCTCCGTTTTTTCTATTTCTGCCCGCTTGTCAGCTTTATCTGAAAAAATAATATTCTCAGTAACATCCCTGTATAGCTTTAGAACGTTATTGGTGAACATCACACTACAATCCAATTGGCTTACATTGCCTGTTCAGTAAATTCTGCATCTTCCGCTTAAGCCGCTCGCGCAGATTGGGCCGTCCAGTTCCTGATCCGCCACCACCGGCGTGTCCAGGTCCCTGTAATTGTCACAATAAACCCATTTAGAAGAATTCGCATCATCGTGGATTTTATAAAGGGAGCAGGGGCGCACGGTCAAGAGTGTCGGGTTAAGGGTTCGGCCAAGGTGCCTAGAGTCCATAAGGGAGTTCTAATACTTAAGAAAAGGGAAAGCAAGCTTCGCTCCTGAAACTTTCAATACCTATGCAGGGGGATTTTAAAAAAGGAATAAGAATTGAAAAAAATTAAAATTCTGTCTTTAAGCTTAGAAAAATATTAAAAGAATAACTGAGAAATAGAAAGAAAATCAAGTTTTAAAAGATATGAAAAGGGTGAAAAATGCATTTTTAGCCCCGATGCAGTCTGGATTGCATGTGCATCGCAAGCTCATATTCACATTCTCATTCTCGAGACCCGCTGCTACGACAAAGGAAATGAAACTATGAATAGACAATGGAAGGGGCAGGGATGATAAAATGGTTGGGGTTAAGGATGGAAAGAGAACACGGTGCTGCCTGGTCGGGTCCGAAAGTTGTTCATTGGTTTGGATAGGAGGCTAAGGCGTGAATTTTGTGGTGTACTCCAGTTTGGTGGGACATTGGACATGTGGCTTTGCTTACTGACTTTGGTTTCGGTAGCAGAACTATATTTGCCTGTTTGATTACCCGTGCTGCTCGATGACATGGCCGGTTGAAGAGCGTGAGAACGCTCTGACCTGGAATAGACGTAATTTCAGAGTGAGTTCAAAGTCAGCATTACAAAATAGCAGGTTATTCTTTGGCTGTTTTACTTTACCACTCGCTGCAGCAATAACTTACGCAGTATCCACGTCCACATCGTCCGAATCGTCTGCTCGTTTCCCGGTCTGGGACTGTTGCTGTTCCTCGTTGTCACTAGCCTCGCTGTTCTCTGCTGCCGACGATGATGATGATGTGTCATTGGCCCTTTTCCGGCCATAATAACGCTTTAGAGGCGGTGGCGGCGGCTCCACCACTTGCGGTGGCGCCACTGCAGGAGCAGATTGGTTTAATAATCGTGAGGGTATGGGATAACTGATCATTGGTGGAGCAGCTTTCGATTGTTGCTGCTGAAGCAGCTTCACCGCAGTCAGAGTAGATGTAGTGGTAGTGGTTGTAGTGCTCAGGCAATAAGTACCAGCTGGGGATTGTGCTGGAGGTGTTTGCTTCTTTTTGGGGCGACTCCGAGAACGGGAGCGACTCCTTCGCCTGTAAGAACTTGCACTTGAACTTCGCGAGGAATAGGAGTAGCGTTTCCTTGACCTTTTGTAGCTGGGACTGCGCGATTTGTATCGCTTCCAGGAACCTGAACGCGACCGAGATCGAGAACTTGATCGCCTCCTTGATCTGGATCTAGAGTAATATCTCCTACGGCGGCGGGATCGCGTCCTGCTCCTGCTTCTTCTATGGTAGCTCCTACTGCGGCGATTTCTTCTACGACTTCCACTGCGACTTCTCGACGCCGAGCCGCTTCGGGAACGTGACCTGGAGCGGGAACGGGAATGCCTCCTGCTGCGCTTTGCTGATTCATTCATCAGTTTCAGCTTGTCGAGATTGTCTTTGACCTTTTGGGCATAGGAAACTGAAGAAGCGCCAGCGGCGGCCACCGCTGCTCCACTACTGGCTTTAATGCAAGACTCGCCCAATGTCAAGCCTGGTTTGGAAAGGCTGATGGTGATTTTAGAGTGCGGCTGCATCTCATCCTCGCCACCGAAGGAGGTAATGTAGGTGATTTTCTCTGGACCCGCTTCAGAAGGCGATGGCGATCTGGAATCGCTGTCGTCCTCCTTTTCCTTGTCATTTCCCTTGCCGCCACCCTTTTTATCCTTATCCTCTTTGGCAGCGTAACTGGGAGGGCTAAATGGGCGATTGGCAATTCTTCGCTCCTTTTGCGCCCTTCTTTCCCGTCGGGACTTGCGTCCACTTAATAGCATCTTCTCCTGCTCTTCCTCGCGGGCGATACGCAAGGCGTCTGCCTCGTCTGCATCCTTGGTCAAGTGCGAGAAGAAATCATTGCTTTTCATTCCGTAGTTGCGGCCGCAGGCGTTCAGCTCATGAGCTTGAGAGGTATCCAGTTTTCCAATGTCAATAGACACATCCATATCGATATCCGAGTCTGATTCGTCAGATCCATCACCCTTTTCTCCGGTTTTTATGACCGCTCCGGCTGTAGCCGTAGAAGTTGAGCTTGCAGCCCCAAAAGGTTGCGGGCCAATAGTGGCTGGATCACCAGCATCATCATACGAATAACCAATGGTAGCACCCCCCGTTTTCTGCTTTTTCTTGGCCAAATTTCGCTCGGCCTCTAATTGTGCATTTGCTCCAAACTGCTCCTCCAAGTAAAGCTGATGCAGAAACTTATCCTCACTGACGTTGAGAAAGTCGTTCTGGGCCAGAATGCGATACCGCTCATAGTTCAACTGCCTCTCCTCGGCGCTTAGTTCTGAGTCTGGTTCTCCGAACTCGCCAGTGTTCTTGGTAACTGGAGGGATGTAATCCAGGTGAGCACGTACGTCAAACCTGTCAATCAGATTATCCTGCTGCCCCTGCCACGGCACACTGTAAAATGAACACCCAATTAGTCTTCCTGTCCACCAAAAGTCGGTCATAAAAGAATGGTCAAACTCAAACTCAATATCACTTGCATGATTGCGGCTCCATCGCCAGCGGCTGCCACTGCAGGATCCAAATATATTTTGCTCCGCCGGCCGTGTAGCTGTAAGAACTGGGTGGGATCCGCTTGTATCTTGTCGTAAAAGTACTGTCTGCGCTCCGCCCGTTTGCGGTAGTCAACGATCAGGCCGCGGATCTTCCGCTCCTGCTTGCGCGCCTCGTGCCACATGATAATCTGTGTTCTCGCTGCGCTTGCCGGTTGCCAAATGACCAGGATGCACACAAATATCCTGTCACGCCCGGCGTTTTTATTCGACTCCTGTACTTGATGTCGCTGGCACTTTACAACACTATGAAGAGCCAGACTAAAAATGTGGCAACCTCATGTTTGTGTAATATTTAGTGTTGCATAACATAAAATAAAGGGTTAATAAAGATCCAAAAATTACTTTTTATGGGTCACCAGTTAAAAGATTTAATTAGAGCTTAAGAAATAAAATAAATCCTAAATAGGATTAAACAAATTTCAAATATATTCAAAGCAAAATTTATTTTTAAAATCGTTACCGTTATTTTTTGCCTTTCTGGCAACCCATTGAAGCCTGCGCCCTGTAGTCCTTCGGTGGTGGAAAGAAAATGTAACAACAAAAGGATAATAAATAACAGGCTAAACTGGAATGGGCCACAACACAACAATTGACGCTCAGATCCTTTTGCGGCATCGATTTTAAACGGGAACAAGATACATCCACAGATACATCCATTGATAGAGGAGATACATCCACAGGATACAATCACACTGCTAGGCTCACACCCACGGGGATTTATTGAAAGAACGAGTCCAGCTCGTTTGCGGATCCTGTTTTGATGTCCTCGAGTAGACGCTTCTACTTCACGTCGGAGCTGGAGGACAATGAGGGGGCAATGGAAAACAACAACAATGAAAGGGAGGTGGAAGCTGACAAGGATCCCGACAACGATCCAGAGGATGCGGAATTCCTTCAGGAAGTGCCATACTCGTCGAGTAGCGTTGACCGCAGCTCGGTGGGCTCGATTCCATGGGCGGACGATGCCATCAAGAAGAACCTACTGGCCTGGGAGCGGGTGGAGCGCCTGCTGAGTGGTGAAGATTCCCTGGAAGACGAGAAGGAACCAGAACTGCGTAATGAGATCACTGACTGGCAAAGGAAGTTTCCGAGTTTGCTAGGTCGAAAGACCCGCTACATGCGACACCATAGCTTTGACAGCCAGGCCCGTGAGGAGATTGACTCGATTTCCAATCTCAGCCTAAACTCCCTAGACGACGAAGACGATGACGAGGCGGAGGATGGGTTTCTTACCCCTACCGCCGAGCGCCACCATCAGCCTTTGACGAGAACATATCAGCGTTCGGGTCAGAAACTAGTGGATCTCCTAGACAGGGATCTGAGAGTAACCTCTATTTCTGTCAAACTACTTAAGCGCCAGCGATCCCATCAGACTGAAATGCCCATCTCAGCCTCTCATACCCAATCCTCGGCTAACCGCTTGCGGATGCCACCTATCCTTAACGTGCTGGACACCAATCGTCGCTTTCGGGGATTACTGAATAACCGTAGCTTCGTGCAACTAACCCAGGTCCAGCAGCAGCAGCACCAAGCCAAGTCGGCCGTTTTAAGTCACCAGGGCAGCCGATCCTCTTGGCACATGCCCATGGCAGCCAATCGTTTCTTCAACAACAAGAACGCCGTTGTTTTGCCATCGTTAAAGCTGGGAAGGCACAGGGAGTTGGCCACCACTACCGCCACATCTAGTCAGAGCAACTCTAGTGGTGGCGGCGGACACAACAGTCATGGTAATAGCAACAGTTCCTCCACCCGGTCGTCGCGTCAGTTGCCGCCTTTTGGACTGGGAATGAGCTTGGGCAGCGTCTCTAGCAATACGCCATCCACGGGACGTTCCATATCGGCGGCAGTTCACCATCCGCGATCGGAATTCGTCCCGAGTAGCGCCTTCTACATACCATATAGTGCCTCAAAATTTAAAGCCTTCAAGTAACCTCAAGCAATAAAACTGAACCTAAAGGAGGATGAAGTTGTTTTTATGGAAACTTCTGTTGGGGAATATAATTATGATGAAGTTCCTCCTAATCTTTAGAATATTAGGGGAATGTACTTCTTTGGGTTGTATGCGATAGATCCTAGTTCAAAAAATAAGAAAGTAATAAGGTTTATGTTGTATTTCTTAGGTAATCCGTGCTTAGCTCCGGATCTTACATTTATCCAATTATTAAAACTAATTTAATAATATATTATTGTTAACCCTTAACCACTCAGCCTCTAACCCCCCATATTGTCGAGACGCAGACGTCCATCATGCTCCGTAAGATAGAGGGTGTCAGCCAGGCACTGCTCCGTAATTAGCTCCTCTACGCGATCATGCATCTGGAAGTTTATCAGAAGAGTCAATGAAAATGCATTGTAAGGTAAACAGGATATATCTCACCCCCTTGGCTTTTTTCTCAACAAGAACTTCGGGATATTTAAAAGCGGGGCCGAAGTTTACGCTGACCGTGGCACTTTTGTGGATGGAAATGGCAGGAAAGTAGCTACCGGCATAAATGTCCTCGAATGCCACTCCCTGGGACTGCCCGTTCTTGAAGAACTCGATGCGACTGCCCGACAGAATATGCATGTTCTTGAGAGTCTCGCTTACTTTGTCCTTGTCCTCGTAGTACAGATGCGACTTAAACTTGACCAGTGGCTGTGGGAGAACAATGAGATGGTCAACGAGATTGCCAATTAGGGTGGATATAATTAAAGATACATTCAATTGCTGCGTAAAGCTTCATAAATAGGGTGCATCGAAATGTGGGTTAACAAGTTTCCTATTCACAAGCAGGATAATCTTGAATCCAGATTCTTAATTATAAATTAATTTCATAAAAATGGGAAACAAGTTTCTCGAAATATCAATTATGAACTTACACGATCCTTAAAAGTGTTGGGCAAATAATCACGGCCCTTCTCTTCAGGCAGATGGATAAGAAATCCCAGGGTGTCCCCCTCAACATAGGCATCGGTGTAGTGCCTGCCACGACTCTCCGTGAACTTGGTTCCCTTGCGCGAGCGCCAGGAGTAGCCGAACTTGTCGTACCCAAGAGGGGCCTGCAAGTTTCCGTATTCCCTGCCCCATCCCAAACGGGTGGCTGCACCCTCAGGCATTTCCTCGATGGTGATCTCAAAGTACCAGCAGCCACGGTTCACAGCTAAAAATAAGAGAAAGATTTAATATGGTTCATCACAAATAAATGCGTTGTTCTTACAGTGTGTGGCACGGACCATGCAGTAGCCTCTTTCTCCAGTCACAGCCAATCTATCTTCGCTGATCTTCAGCTGCGGTGCCCGATCGTGCAGTGCTAGGAGCACGGAATGCGGCACTAACGTCCGGTACAACCAACCCGGAATGGGCTTGCCGGCCCAGTCAGAGCTCTCATCGAACTCCTGGCGGAACGGAGCATGGGGATCCGGTTCTGCCAATATATACCTGTAACCGTCCTTGTTGAATGGGTGCTCCAGGGGATAGCCATGCGGTGGCAACTTCACATTGGCTGTGATATCTGAGCTGGGGCGGCCCTTCTTTCCCGTGGGACCCGAATCGGCGCCCGGGAACTTGCGCTTCTGTCTATTGTTCTTGGAGAGAGCTGATTGAAAAAATAGAAAAAGGAAATTATTAGCTACGTGACTGGGTAAAGTTCAGTACGGTGGTTTCCCCTTCTCCAGCTTACACTCCTCCTCCGGGAGCGATGACGCCATGGCAGGACAGCGGGATGCCCGGAGACTACCAATTGCGACGCGCTCAAAATCAAATGCAATAAAATTCAAAATCGATTTACGCACACAACGAAGAGAGCAAACAAAAACTATAAACACAAAATCAAGCAAAGCGTAACTATTTATTTTTTAGTGATGAATGAGAATGAGCCGAGTCGTGTTGAGCGCTTCTGCCAGCCCCACAGCACACCACCCCGCCCACAATCTGTGGCTACGTGGGGATACCAGATGTGATTCTCTCGCGCTCCCCACTCTCTGTTTACAAGTGTGTGTAAGCGTTTTCCGCTCGCGTGCTTTGGTGTGAGTGTGCAAAAAAACAAAATACATCAGAAATTACGATCTTTTTTTAGGCTTGCAAAAAAAAAATTAAAACGAAAAAAAAATCGAAACAACAATAAAATTGATATTTCTTCGAATTCCATAAAAATCAAATTCTACTGTAAATAGGGATAATAGTTGTACACAAATGAACACATCATGCCCACTGTGCAAGTATCAGCTGGGAGGCCAGTGTTGCCAATTCGGGCGCCTTTTTATACCCTTGCAGGCAGTAACATGTTCCCTTTCTGATGTTTGTTCATTGGATTTCTGTTCCATGTTTTTTTTTATAGGTAAACTTACTTTGTGTGTAGCCATCGTCAGTCAATTTCAAAGCACCACTCTTGCTCATGCTTTCATAGTTCGGCTTAATGGTGCGAAGGTCTTGAAAGATCAAGCCATACATGGCGCCATGCTCCGAGTGTTCCTCGTAAGTAAACAGCGTCTGCACATCTTTCACAAGCGAGCGTTGAACAGTGCTATACCATGACTGGGTCAGTCTTCGAGGCATTGTGGTCATGGCTTCCCAGTACTGCTCGATGTACGGAATGATTTCCTTGTCCTTACTGAATTGGATTTGCCGCTTTCCCTCTCGGGCAGCTGTCTGCTGCATATTGGCAATGGCACAGTGGCACATCTGAGAAATGGCTGCAAATAAAGTTTGGTTAGAAAGAGGTCGAAGTTGGATGGCAAACACTTACTGGCCTGGCTCTTGCGGAAACTCTCCGTGCCAGAAGCAGAGCAGATCTTGCATACGAACACATAGTTGGTGATGAACGGCAGAATTTTCCCCTTCCCCAACTGGTAGGATAGACAGGACTCGTGCACCCATCGGGAACAAGTGGCGCAAAGTAGCTCAACAATGTTGAGATTCCGTTCTTTCCCGCTAAAAGGTTTCAGTCGTTATCAACCGCACAAGCCAAACAATGCAACCGGCTTACCAATAACAAACGCCGGCAGGTGCTCGGTTTTCCTGCGGTTTCTCCTCCTCCGGATTGAAGTTGACTTCAGAACTGGACTCGGTCGGAGAGTTGGTCTCCATTGGAACTTCTTCCATGGCAATCAGTCTTTTTTTTCAGTCAAAAACCACTAAGTTAAGAAATTATTTGACAGTGGAGTGTGGCCGTCTTCTTTTCCGCAGCTCCCGCTAAAACGCGGACATACCGGCTCTCAAGTCTTTTTTTTTGTGGCCGCCGCATATTTTTTGGCAGATATGGGCACGCTAACCGATAACCGATAGCACACCTGCCCATAGCTTGACAACTCTGCCCCTGCCTCTTGCTCGTTTGTAATTGTATATTGTATATATATACATATATATTCATACATATATATGTCCGAGTCCGAGTGTGGAATTATCATTTTTTTGTTGCCGAAAAACAGTGTTCCGTGGAGAGAGCTCGCGGCATCCTAAATGGCATTGCACCATCGCCAGGAGCGAGCTGAGCGACGAATACCAACGAATACCAGCGTCCCGTGTCCAAGATTCTGTGTCTAGCTCCCCGATTCTCGATTTCTAGCTCGCGACTCCTGAGGCGGCTTTCCCATTTCGGCCGCCAGATCAGCCAGAGCGGCCAGATCCACCATGTGCGAGGTGTGCGCGGACTTCCAGAATCTCCTGGAACTATGTAAGTCAGCCAACTGACCGCCCGCCACCCGCAACCCCTTTTTTCACCCACTTCTTTTCCATCCCCCCCCGCTTTCCTTACAGACGAGGTGCGCGTGGCCAGCTCGGAGCTTAAGTTCCAGTTGCTGCTGAAGAGCGAGATCGAGACGAGCTTCAACTACATCCAGTCGTGGCCGCAGCGCCAGTGCATGTGCCTGTATCGGGACTCAAAAAACTATGACCGCTTTAATCTGGTGGTTCAGTCGCTCATCTGCCTTACGGTACAGCATTTAAAACACATCGACCAGCTCATCGACAACTACAAACGGTTGACTGCGAGCGCCGCTCAAGTGGTGGCCCAGGCGCAAGCCCAGCAAAGGGAGCAGCGGGATCAACATCGGGAGGATCCGGATAACCCGGTGGACGGCAAAGACTTAGCTCCTTCAGGCGAAGAGACTAAGGAGGACCATGGTGATACCGCCGCCGCTGGCGATGGGCCGGCGAAAAAGGCCGGTCCCAGCACTCCTCCTCCTCCGCCACCACCGCCGCCATCTGTTCAGCACAAAACCCACCTGCAGTACACTGAGGAGCCCTGGATCCTGCCCGAAGTGGAGAAGCTATTGGTGCTGGTTTCAAAGGTGTTCTTGCTCAACTTCCCGCTGTACATCGCTCACAAGCATGGAATGCACTCGCGGCTGGACGATTTGCAGGCAGAAGAGGCCCACCATCTGGCCCTAATTTGCGACCTGCACGATAACGACCTGCCCATTTATCTTCTCCGGAACGTGAGCCTCTTCTGTAATTCCGGTGGGTTCGGTGCGATGTCGTTGTGCTTTGAGCACCCAGACCTGCCGGTGTCCACAGCTCACTCTATGACTGCCGCAGTCTCGAACGTGAAGCTCTGGCTCAACTACCACTGTAACACCCAGCTGTTCGTGCCGCTGCGCAGCCGCATTCTGCAGTATATGTGCAAGCTCTCGGACCAGAGTCTGCGGTCAGCAGCCACGCGGGCCATGGCCGATTTTGTATGGTCCTCGATGCGGGATCCCCTGGACGTGGCTGTCAACTTTGACACAGAGGGTCTGGCTCTGGCCTTCAAGTACTTTACGTCTACAACTCTTACTATGCGGTTGGCAGGTGAGAACTTACTGGATTTTAGATATATCTTTATTAGTATAAGTATTATTTAATATAAAGAGCTTTATTTTATTTCAAATCCGACTACAAATGGACTACCATTACAGGTATGGCTCAAATAAATGCACACATTAACTTGTTCAACGAAATCTGCACCACGGAGACGGTAAATGAGGTGGAACTCTTTGGTCAAAGGATTGCCAATTGGCTAACAGAGAACCACATTGTGCAGCACCTATTTGGCCCGAACCTCCACGTTGAAATCGTGAAGCAGGCTCACGTGCTGCTGAACTTCCTGGCGGTCGAGAATCAGATCTCCGAGGAAGATATCAAGCTCATCTGGCAGGCTACACAGCTCAAACACTGCTCGAAGACAATCTTTGACATTCTTCCATCGCTGGTCAAGAACCTGGCGCCTCGTCCTGCGATGCATCTCTACTCGCTTCTCTGCCGCATGGACCCCAAGGAGCACACCGAACAGAGCATTTATATTGCATCTGCATTGACCAAGTTGCTTTGGACGCGTGACTGTTCCCGCAGCCAAATGAACTTGATGCAGGATCACTTACTGGGCTCGAATGTCACAGCTTCCAGCTCGGATAGCGGCAGCATTGAGGGCAGCAACACGGAGGATGACCATGTGGGGGCAGACGATAGCAGCATCGCTAGTGGCGGGGCTGGCGGAGGCGCAGGCCACAAAAGCCCCATTGACGGAGTCACTCCCTGCAAGCAGGCCAGGCACCGGCGTCACATCTGCGACCCAACCACCGAGAAGGGAAAGCAACTGAGTCCAGATGACATGGCAAAAGTTGATATAGTGTAAGTATCTACCCGAATCGAAGTATCTATTTTGGCTCACTATGTGATCCTTGCAGGAACAACCGCATTGTTAACATCATCGACAATACGAGCAGTGAGGAGGAACTGCAGTCACGGGCCGCCCTAGAGCTGCAGCTTCATCGCAGCCGAAAGAAAACCACAAACAAACGGCGTCGGCAGAAGGCAAGCAAACAGATCCTCCTGCCCCATGAGCTGGTGGAGATCTGGGATGGAGCCGAGGACGTTCCCAGCAGCGACGAGGCGGACGCCGACGGTGACGGTGATGGAGATGCTGAAGGCGAAGGCGAGCTGTTGGCCGATAGCGACGAGTGCAGCGATGGAGCAACCAGTCAGCTGGTGCCCGCTGCCGTTCTGAAGCACCTCCAGGGCGAGGGTCCCTACATTCGGGCCATCGAAACAAATATTAGCGAGTTGCTTAGCGGCGCCGAGAACGATGGCAGTTACTCCTCACCAATGAGCAACAAGTCGGAGAAAAACCTGGCCGATTTCGATGATGAGGATGTATCGCCCTGCGAAGAGGAACTGGCACAACTGGTCAGCTCCCGGGCAAACTGTCGTGAGGTTCCGCCTGCCTTCGCCGCCGCTGCCGCAGCTATGATGGTGGCACAGTCGGCGATGGCCATGCAGAAATCCGGTGAGAGTAATGTGGCCGCAGCAGCTGCCGCTGTGGCGGCCGCCGCTGCTGCCACTGGAAGTGCCCAGCAGCAGCTGGTGGCTATGAATCGCCAAGCCACTGCTGCCGCTGCTGCTGCTGCGGCGGCAGCCAAAGCCAAGTCGGATTCGGATGTGGATCTCTTAGAGGTCGCAACGGCCAGCAAGCAGCATCACTCGCCCAAGGCGAGTCAAGTCTCGGTTGGCCCCTCCTCCATGCAGCCCTCCTTCAAACTGAACGATGTCTGTCAGCCGGGGAATACCTTGCTCTGGGATCTGCTCCAAGACGATAAGATTGTAAGAGTTGCTATTTCTCAAAACCTTAACAATTTATAAACTACTTTATTTTTAGGGTCAACTGGGTGAGTCTCTGGCACTGGAGGCGGAGAAGGCCCTGGCCACCCTGCTCTGCTTCAGCATGGACCGCCAGTTGAGGACCAAGTTCATCGAAGGCTGCTTGTATAATGTGGCCAACAACCGAAGCGTTATTGTGAGCCTGCGTTTGCTGCCAAAGCTGTTCGCGTCGTTCCAGCAGTTCCGGCCATCAGACACCCATTCCATGACCCTTTGGGCCGAGCGCAACCACCGGATGATGCATTGTTTCTTCAATAACATTCGTTACTATGCTCGTCGACATGCCGAGCAGCTGGTAACTCAAAACGGAGACCAGCAACCGCAGCAGCATCACCAGCTCTATACGCACAAGACGCAAGTCTCAGTGCGCCTGCAGTTCCTCTCCTCGATCTTTTCAACGGTTGGCTCGCCGAAGAGTTTCCGCCTTACGCTCGAACAGCTGGACTCTCTGTGGGAGTGGCTGGCCCACGATCCGGAGTGCGCCGACTGCTACTTTTCGTGGCTTCAGGCCCAGGCCAAAGGGGGCGACCAGCACGCTCTCGGCATTGATGCTCTCCAGCATTTGTATCTGAAGAAACTCCCCGAGCTGCGACCGGAGGAGTTCTCTATGGTCGCGCTGGGGTTGTTCCAACAGCTCTGCAGCTTCGCTCGCATTGCCATGGCCGAGTACGACAAGCATAGCGAACAGATCTCGTCCAGTGCCAGCGCCGTGGGAATGTATCACCTGTGGAAGATAGCCCTGCGTGCCCAGAGCAACGAGGTGTCGCTTGCGGCCATCCAGTACATAAATATGTACTACATGGGTCAGCAGCTGCGGCTGGAGAAGGAGTTTGTCTCCCAGTGCATGGACAACCTGGTCCAGGCAGCCACGGCCCTAGAAAGGTTAGTTTTTTATTCCAAACCCATTGCACCTAACTATGTTTTCCCAAACCCCTTCCAGCATTGACGACGAGAATGCCCTCATGCGAGTCCAACGCGGACTTCTGCTGCTTAATACCCACCTGGACACATTCCGGCGTCGCTACGCTTTCCACTTGCGCCGTTGGGCCATTGAGGGAAAGGGCATCGGTTCGCATAGTAACCTCAAAAACGAGGGAGCAGGTCCTCCGCTGCGGATCGTCCTCCAACAGGCAGGGCTGTCGGAGAAGAGCCTGCTGCAGATGCACGCCTGCGATCTTATTGCGGACCTGAAGGCGGAAGTATCCAAGTGGTGGGAAAGCCTGCAGACCGGCTTGGCCGCTCCAGTGCTGGGCCTGCTCCTAAGCGACGGCCCGCTGCGCATCATCACCCAGGGACAGGAGCTGACTTCGGACTACGACGAACGGAGCTTGGGTGATGCCGGATTCAAGGATAATCAGATTGTATACGTATCCCTGGGAGGACGGGGGGCCCGGAGAAAGGAATCCAACCTGGAACACCCCTCCATGCTGCCACCCCCTCCCAAGGAGTGCCTGCCCACGGTGCTCCTGTTGCAGCCGAAGTACTTTGAAAAGCTCTTCTGCCTGATGCAAACCTTGGGGGACATGAAGCCCCAAGCCTCGGCCACGAATCTCCAGCACCATACCAAGGCGCA